TTTTTACCTGGAAAACTCCAGGGACAGAGGAACCTGGCGGGCTACAGTCCAGGGGGTCACCAAGAGCAGGACACAACAGAGTGTGTGTGTGTGTGTGTGTGCATGTGCACACATACACAATACACATTAACACAAGGATAGGCTTCCCAAACAAACCAGAAGTTCAGCAGAATGAAAAGAGCATAGACTTTGGGACTACGATTAAGAAACTTTAGTGTTAGTCACTCAGTCGTGTCCAGCTCTTTGTGACTGTAGCCCACCAGGCTCCTCTGTCCATGGGATTCTCCAGGCAAGAATATTGGAGTGGGTTGCCATTCCCTTATCCAGAGGATCTTCCTGACCCAGGGATTGAACCTGTGTCTCCTGCATTGCAGGCAGATTCTTTACCATCTGAGCTACAGGGAAGTCCCATAGACTTGGGAGTTCTTTCAATTTCCAACTCCAGTGTTTACTAGTCATAGGACTATCAGCAAATATTAGCTACTGAAGAAACCACAATGTCTGGGTCAGACAGTTGATTAGACATGACTCAAAAAAGAATTTTAGAATTAGAAGATAAACCCAGGGAAAACACTCAAGAAGTGGCACAGAGAGATTTAAAAGATGGAAACTATAAAGGGGAAATAGCTGGCTATCCAGGGGAGAAACAAAGGATACTGATAATTGCTATTAATCCTTGTGGAATGTATGACTGGTACAAGCCTTCTGGAGGACAATATGGTAGCACGTGCACATTATGTTGTTTAAATAATTATTCAAACAAAAATTGTTCCTAGGAAATTTTTCCAAGGAAACATTAAAAGGAAGGCAACATTTATATGTGGAATGTTTGTTCCCTGCAGAGTTATTTATAATAGTGAAAAACTAGACACAGCCAAAATGCCCAGCAATGGGTAAACAACCAAAAAACACTGTTAAGTGTGATGAGTATAAAAAGGACTATACAAACAATAGGGAAAATGTATATGCTTTTTCAGCAGAAAATAATCAGAAAGTAGAACATCTAGGCAAATTATTATCATATAGGAACTATACAGGCATATGGTCAAGAACAGGAGTGATCTGCTGGAATGAGAGGACTTAGGGGTGAACTAATTTCTTTTATGAGAGGGCACTGATACTGTTAGAATACTGCTGACACAAATAATTTTTAATACAGTAAATAAGAATAGAGGCAACTGCACTATCGAACCTTTTCTAAGGTAGTAAGTGAAAGCCTATTTATTATCACAAAATTTAAACTTGCAGAAACTTCCATTCTGTATTAGTCATGAGTTCTATAATTTTTATAAACATGTGGACAAGTAGAACTAAAAGGGACAAGGGGAAAAATAAGATTGATAACTCTGCTTTTATTGATTAGGGGCACTGAGGCCCATACAAGGAAAGAGAATTGTCCAACATAACACAGTATCTGAGTCAGGCTTGGTTGGTCTCCTTTAAATGTTTAAAAATCAGTTCTGAAGAAATGGTCTAATGTCTGAGATCTGCTTTAAATTAATTCAGTTTGTTATTTTTTTTTTTTGGCATAAGGCTGAAATATGATGGGCAGTGACTTATTTTTGAAACTGGCTATATGTCCATAGAGGTTATGACATTATTCTGAAAATTAAAATTATTTTAATTTTCCATAGTGAAAAGTTTCAACAACTCCTAAAGTAACAAGAAAAGATCTCAAAATAAGTGGCAAATCTAACCTGTGACTCAAAAATTGAATTATACAACCTGAAACAGATTGTGAACAAAGTTTACTTAATGTCACTTAGCTGTGACTATTGAGGCTTTTAAGTGGGTTTTTCCCTCATGGCTATAATAAAAGATGCATGTTTCTCATTAGACATTCTAACACTGTCCAAGCTCAGAAACTGAACAAACAACCCACTGAATTAATGAGCACTTAAAATATGACACTTAAAATTTTAGAACAAAATGAATTCCTTAAATTTAAAAAAGGCAGATTTTCCATAACACGTGCATGCACAACACCCATTAATGGGTCAGCCAAGTTATATTACATAGGGATTATAATCATCTTCAAAATTAAAGCCCTCAAAACAAGGAGACGATATAGCATTTAGAGTCAATGAAAAGAACCAGGAGTCGGCAGCTCATTACTGCAAAACAAACAAACCTAACAAATTACATAGGCTAGCTACTTAAAAGAGCAAAAGAAAAACTAAATTTAGTACATAGCATTCACTTGACAATTTATGGAACACCAAATCTTTCATTCAGGGGATGAAATATACCCTAAGAACACTTTTGTAATAAGAATTGAGACTACCAGGGAGTGAAAATATTTTTATAAACTCTTTGTGAAGTCGCTCAGGTGTGTCCAACTCTTTGCAACCCATGGACTATAGCCTACTAGGCTCCCCTGTCTATAGGATTTTCCAGGCAAGGATACTGGAGTGGGTTGCCATTTCCTTCTCCAGGGTATTTTCCCGACCCGGGGATCGAACCCAGGTCTTCAGGTAGCAGACAGACGCTTTACCATCTAAGCCATCAGGGAAGCCCATAAACTCTTTGTAAATATCCATTTTTAAGGCCATAAACAACAATATAAGGACTAAGAAGGAAGAAAAACAAAGATTCTTAAGAAAATGCAGAATTCAAAGTCCTATTAATAATTTACAGGATACACTATGATATCAGCAGTATTTTTGGTGGTATTTTTTTCCTCTGAGAATAACTCTAGAAAATAACTTGGAAAATAAACACAATTGAAAGTACCTATTTATAATCCCTTTACCTACTTTTAATATTTGGTTGATTTTTCTCTAGTCTTTTGATTTTTTTTTTAAGTCTTTTTTTTCTGTGAACATATTAACATGTTAATTTATTTTTTTACTTTTATAAAGCTGGAATATTGATTTGCCTAGATCTTCAATTATTTTCTTGGGCCAAATTCCTAGAAATGGAATTTACTGGGTCAAAGGTGTGCATTTTTTTTTAAAGGTTTGCATTTTTTAAACTCTTGATACACACTACATTCCAGAAAAGTCAGAGCAATTTATACATCCATCGGCAGTGTGACTACTCTTTCACCATCTGTATAATTCTGACCAGAGTCAAACACAGATGATGAGCCTGGGCCCCAAACTAGAAAAAAGAAAACAAGAAAACCTTTTCCCTTCAGAAACAAAGGGCTGATTATAAACACACAGACCTGGAAGGTGAAAATTCGAGGGGGCTGCCTGAGAACCAAAGCCCTGGAACGGTCTGTTCCAGCTGCAATAAACCAGCTGCGGTTCCCCTGAACGCACTGCCTTTTGGACGCTGTGGACCCGGCTTCCTCTTGGCATCTCTCTACCCACCCTCCTCACTGCCAACCTCCCTGCCTTTTCCCTCCAGGAATTTGTCAGTAATCCCCAGCCTAAGTTAAATAGTCTTCCACTCTGCTTCGCCAACACCCTCAGATTACCTCTGCTTTAAAGCCCATTTTGTACGCTGAAGTATAATTAAATGGTCTGTCTCCCAGACTAGACAACGACTTCTTTCAGGGCACGGGCTGTTTCTTCATTCTCTGCTGTATCCTCAGCATCTAGCAAAGTACCTGGGAAACAGCAGTAGGCACTGAAGAGAAGTTTACTGAATGAATGAATGAGTCACAAAGCAGCAGGTCTAAAGTGCTGGTCAGAGAGCTTTTTCTGTCTGTAAAGGATCAGACAGCAAGCACTTCAGGCTCGGGGGGCCACCTGGTCTCATTCACAACTGCTCAGCTCTGTCCTTGCAGTGGAAGTGGTCATGGACAACGAGCACGGGGACGGGCATGGCTGTGCTCCAAGAAAACTTCACTGCCGAAGCCAGGGGGCAGGCTGGATTCGGCCTGTGGACCATAGTTTGCCAAATAATCCCTGATTTAGAAGTTTAAAGCTCACAGTTTTAAAAGATGAAGTAAAAATAAAAAATGATGAAAAGACCATAGATATTTAATGCTTTAAATCTACACAGAGTTTAGGCTACACTGTATGTTTAGGATTCAACTCTATTATTATTATTACCACGTTTTACTCCCAAATTCCTTTCCTCTGTGACTTGGTCTGTGATGCAGAGAGAAAGGGGAAAAGAAAATAACTCAAAGGAGAGGGGAGGATGGCCCCCTTCGATGGGAACTGAGCACAGTTCGGCCTCAGTTACAGGCCGAATAAAAATGATCAGTAACATTAGAGATGTGTTTAAACTAGAAGTGATTGATAGGACGCTTCAATTTGTACACTCATCCTTAAGATACTGACTGAGAATTCATAAACCTGATTTAGACACACAGACTAAAGATCATGACAACAGACTAAAGATAATCTGAATGGTAAATAGCTTAAGTTTCACTACACTATGAATTACGCATCAAAACGGTGTATGCACTACTCTATAAGTAAAATGTATAACAATATACAAAGGAGAAGAGGGAGAAGCAAAAGAAGAGATACAAATAACCAAGAACTACACGAAAGTATGCTCCAAAGCATTAGTCAATAGGGAAATGTAAATTAAAACCACTATGAAATACCACAACACACCAGCTAGATTGTCTGCATAGACAAACACCACCCACATCAAGTAGACCAGATAACCACTGGAACTACTGATTTGGGCAATACGAACAGTCACCTAATCACTTAAATCAACAATGAATACTATACATTAAAAATAAAATAAACAATCACTTTGTGAGGAAAAAAGAAAAAACAATGTATGTGCTTGTCTCTGCAGATCAAGGAAAAAAAGAAAAAAAAAAAAATGACAATCAAAAAGCGAATGGCCGTTCAGGTCCGAAAGTCAGTCCTCACTGCTGCTGTTTCCCTGCCTCTGACTGCAGATGCCAGCTTCCTCCCTCCTCCAACCCTCCACTGCTGCCCCAAGGCTCCAATGCTCTCGCTCCTCAGACTGTAACCACAGAGTGGAGCCTCAAGCCTGGGTCCACGTGGACTGCGAGATCTGCTTTCTCTGGAATGCACCAGCTCTGCGTGTGCAGTGAGTCTGTTTAAGCAGGGCCTTACTTTTCATCGTGCCTTCCTCTTCCTCGTCCTCTGTGTTGATCACCATGGTGCCCAGCTGGGATGGCAAGGTGTCATCATGCTCGATCATCGTGTTGGCCCCGTCGCCCATGCTGCTGGCCACGCGGACGGTGCCCATCTCATCCCCCGCCGCTCGGACCATCGTGCCAGAATCTAGCTCGTCCTCCTCCTGGAAAAGGAGGAGATCCAAATGAGGGCTAATTTGATTAAAAAGATTGAGTTTCCTGAATTACTCTTATTCATCTTGTTGCAAATATTTCTGGATTTCAGGCTTATTCGTAGAACTAATAACACTCTTTTAACTCAAGTGTAGTTGGTGTACAGTATTATATAGGTCGTTTTTGTTTAGTCGCTGAGTTGTGTCTGACTCTTGCAATCCATGGACTGTAGCCCACCAGGCTCCTCTGTCCATGGGCAAGAATACTGGTGTGGGTTGCCTTCTCCAGAGGATCTTCCTGACCAAGGCATCAAACCCGCGTCTCCTGCATTGGCAGGTGGATTCTTTACCGCTGAGTCACCATTATATATGTTACAGGTGACAGTATATTGATTCACAATTTCTAAAAGCTATACTCCATGAGAACACTCCTAGTCAACCAAAGAGCATACATTTATCCATATGAAAGCCGCATATCTAACCTGCATGTTTTTTTTAACACTGCTCTAAGGAGCTAAGGTACACACCTTTGGAATCTCAGGGTTGTGAGAGAGTCTATCAGTGTAAAGTCTACATAGCTAGTATGGATACTAGATGCCCCAAAAGAGCACAGAAAAACACAGTCTCAGACCTGAATGTTCTCTTTACTGAATAAAAAGTTGAACTGAAGAAAAGATATGGAGGCAAAAGAACAAAATGTGGAAGTGTCTCAGGAAGCACCGGGAGAACAAACACACACCCAGCAAGCCCTGGTCCATGACAGGACACGGTGCGGCGAGGAGCGTCTCCAGCTCCAGGCAGATCCTCCAACTCTGACTCGTCTTAGCTGGCTGGCAATCACAAAGTGCCAAGCATGAACGCCTGAGGCCCTCCGCAACGCCTGCACTCACCGAGTTTTCGTCCTCATCCTGGTCCACCTCCCGCTGCTGGGCCTCCTGGCGTTTCAGCTTCACATCCATGGCTTCGTTGATCAAGTCCCGCAGTATGGACACTCCTTTGGCACTCTTGACAAACGGGTGCTTCAACAGGAAAAGTTGAAGATGGTTTACGTGGCACTGGTGCCAAAATACTAGCTAGCACAGAGGAGGCCCGCTATAGGCTTTGCTGACTCAACCAGTGAATCTAATTGTTCTCTTTATGCTTTGGACAACTGCCAACCCTAACGCACACTCTCACCTGATGCGAAGAACTGACTCATTTGAAAAGACCCTGATGCTGGGAAAGATTGGAGGCAGGAGGAGAAGGGGACAACAGAGGATAAGATGGTTGGATGGCATCACCAGCTTGATGGACATGAGTTTGAGCAAGCTCCGGGAGTTGGCGATGAACAGGGAAGCCTGGCGTGTTGCAGTCCATGCGGTCGCAAAGAGTTGGACACAACTGAGCGACTGAACTGAACTTGCGTTATAACTCTGAGCAGGTACGTTCAATTTTGCCCATGTGGTTTTTGGCTTGGCTGGAATGTTTCCTCCATTTCTAGCAACTCTAGAGAGTCTCAACAGGCTGGCATCGCCCCCCTAGAGGAAGCTCTGTAAATGTGTAGGGAGCTTGTGGTTAAAATGTTTAGAGAACACAAACTGTATGAGGCATGGAGCAGGGACACAAGCAATCTTGTTTAAAATGCAGAAGAGTCCTGTACAAAAACAAACCGTAGCAGATTCTTCACACCTTTCAAATGTCGCAGAGTACATACACACTTTGATACATGTACCCTGACAAATTTTTTCAAGAGATAAGCATAGTCTGGTTAATTTGGGAGGTGATTTCGGAGAGGGGGGCATAAGTGGGATAAAGACACTGTTTAGAAATCACTGAACAGGTTACTCATCTTGCTTATTCTTTCTATTCAATGTCCTATAGCATTTCCAACTATGTATTTGGGTAAAAAGGATTTGGCAGCTTCCCAAGTGGCTCAGTGGTAAAGAATCCGCCTGCCAGTGCAGAAAATTCAGGAGACTTGGGTTCGATCCCTGGGTTGGGAAGATCCCTTGGAGGAGGAAATGGCATCTCACTCCACTTTTCTTGCCTGGAAAATCCCATGGACAGAGGAGCCTAGCAGACTACAGTCCATGAGGTCGCAAAGAGACGGACACAACTGAATGACTGAGCATGCATGCATATGCAAAAAGATTTTAGTGCCAAAAGACAGTTACTGCAGAAATAACACAACTGGTCACAAACACGTAGCAGATGCAAGCCCCAGTATTATGCCTCTGCAAAGGCACTTGAAACACAGGGATATTATTGACTTTCCTCAATAGAAAAAAGGACTTAAAACTTTTGGGACTTTTTTTTTTTTCTGTACCATGTGGCTTGTAGGATCTTAGTTCCCCAACCAGGGATTGAACCCAGGCCCTTGGCAGTGAAAGAGCAGAGTCCTAACCATTGAACCACTAGGGAAGTCCTTTTTTTTAAATGCTTTTTTCAATGAAGTATATGGTTAATTTACAATGTTGCACCAATCTCTGATGTACAGCAAAGTTACGAAGTTATACACATATAGACATTCTTTTTTTATATTCTTTTCCATTATGGTTTAATACAGAATACTGAACATAGTTCCCTGTGCTATACAGTAGGAACTTGCTGATCATCCATCCTAGGCTCAAAGTTTTTATTATTAATATCATCTTACAATTTTGTTGTTTGCCTTTATAACACAATAAAAAAATTTATGCTGTGAAAGTTACACAGAAAAATTCTTTTCTGGAAGGGTGGGGGTTGCTGTTGTTTTCCAAACTTGTTCTAACATTGTCCCCAGTGTTTATCTGCAATCCATTCTCTGTTCCCTACCACCCATCAGAAGATACAGGCTGCAAGGTCTTTGCAAGAACTCTAAGTGGACAGTATGCCTCAACGTGTAGTGGGATTGAAATATGGGAGATATCTTTTCTATAAAACTGTATCAGTACCTCATCCAGGCAGGAAAAGAATTTGCCACTACTCAGAAAAAGGACTCAGCTCCTCTGCAAAAGTAACTATTTCCTTGTTCTCTCCACTGGGCAAGTCCATAAGGTCATTTCCCTCCTCTTATACAAATCAGTCTGCTCTGTTATTACTTAACATAAGATTTCTGTTAGTATCCACCCACTCATTTTCCTGTGTTTCTTGAATGGAACGGTTTCTGTTCTTCTTACTGCTCTTAAATTTAAACTCATTCATGATGTTAAGTACAGGTGTCTGATTACTTCATTACGTCTCTAAGTTGAAAAGCTGGAGCATTTCTATATTAACACATATATTACTTTATTATAAATAATTATCTTTATATTTCTCCATCATATCACAGATATTACACTGTTTCTTTTTAACTTATAGGCACAAGTAGATTTTAGTATCTATGGGGTTCATTCCAAAAAGGTAATAAGTATTAAAAAATTTGTATTGGTAAGGGAGCAATGGATCTGACATGACTGAAAACCACTGGCCTAGCTCAATAATAGCTACATGTCAAATCCATAATATACTATCTTTAATATATGAAAATGTTATTCAAAGTCACACATATTGTATCACTTAATCTTCATAACCAACTTATGGGGCAGGTACTTGATCTCTACTGCATAGATAAGAAAACTAAACAGAGAGGTTATGTTACTTGCCCAAGGTCACAGAGCTAGCAAACAGGAAGCCAGGAGTCAAACCTGGGCAGTCAGGCTCCTGAATCCAAGCTCCTAAATATTAAGCAAGAAAGTGTGAAAGTGTTAGTCGCTCAGTTGTGTCTGACGTTTTGCGACCCCATGGACCGTAGCCCACCAGGCTCCTCTGTCCATGGAATTTTCCAGGCAAGAATACTGGAGTAGGTTGCCATTCCCTTGTTCAGGGGATCTTCTCGACCCAGGAATTAAACCCAGGTCTCCCGCACTGCAGGCAGATTCTTTACTGTCTGAGCCGACTAAGCATACTGCCTGCCAAATTCTACCCATCCTTCAAGGCCCAAGGTCAGAAGTTACCTCCTCCAGGAAAGCAGTCCTGGCATCACCAGTTCAAAATGGTAGACCTACCACTGATCCCAGTTCTTTGCCAGAACTGGGTATGACACTCCTGCTTCGGAATCAAAAAGACTTCGCTCCTAAGACTGGCTTTGCTGCTTACCAACCGAGTGGCTCTAAATGAGCTAATCTCTCCAAATCTCTGTTTTCTCATCTATAAAAGTAAAATAACACTCCTCTCTCACAGGGTGTATGTGCTGATTAAATGGCACAACATGTAAAGTATCTAGCACACAGCAGGTGCTCAATAATGGCCAATTCTCTAATCTCATACAGTCCTGTATTTTCTTGCATGATTGTCCTGTTCAGTGATTTAACATTCTTTTCTATGTTCTTCTAAGCAGGTACATTCAAACCTCACAGGACGCAAGGAATATGCCTTACAGCTCTTCACCATCTCCATGTGGGTGGGTCAACAGCATCCTGGATGGATAACTTGTGAATGAAACAGAGAGAAAGGCAGCATCCCAGGGTGAGTCATACCTGGAGGAGTTGAGTGGCTGTGGCTCTCTGCTCAGGGCTCTTGACCAGACACTGCTTCACAAAATCCATGAAGCTATCTGACCACAGTTCCGGCTTTCGGAATGTGGGGGGTGGGTTGGTAGGAATCATGAAGATGGCCTGGTTGGAAAGAAAAAAAAATGATTTGGCAAAATAAAAGTGATACTCCAACAAAAATATGACTAGACATAAGTTCAAAGTTTGATAAAATTATTTTCCTCTTCTCCTCTATAAGACCATCCTAATTGCAACAAAAATCTAAGTATCTCAAAGGAGGAAGTACGACCATTAGAGCAGGAGTCCCCAAGAACCAGGCTGCAGAGCAGGAGGTGAGCAGTGGGCAGGCAAACGAGGCCTCATCTGGGTTTACAGCTGCTCCCCATCACTCACGTCACCACCTGAGCGCCACATCTTGTCAGAACAGCGGCAACATAATAAATGTAACGTGCTTGAATCATCCTGAAACCAACACCCACCCCAACCAGAGTGTGGAAAAATTACCTTCCATGAAACTGGTCCCTGGTGCCAAAAACGTTGGGAACCACTGCATTAGAGAATCTGATGAAGCTCTCCTGCTCCCTCCTGCTCTCTTTTCTCCCGCCCTCTCCTGCGTATGTATTCTTGTCCCCTAAACAATAAACAGCCAACCCTGAAGGAAATCAGTTCTCAATTGGAAGGACTGATGCTAAAGCTGAAGCACCAACACTCTGGCCACCTGATGTGCAGAATCTGACTCACTGGAAAAGATCCTGATGCTGGGAAAGATTGAAGGCAGGAGGAGAAGGGGACAACAGATAGCTGGATTGCATCAGTGACTCGATGGGACAAGAGTTTGAGCAAGCTCCAGGAGCTGGTGATGGACAGGGAAGGCTGGTGTGCTATAGCCAAAGGGGTCTCAAAGAGTTGGACAGAACTGAGTGACCAAATTGAACTGAAACAATATCCAGCGACTTTTGTTTGTTTTTTGCTGACCATGTTGCCTTTCAAAGTGAAAAGGCGAGCTCTAAGAGCATCGATATCCTGAACATGACCTCAGCCTCAGAGCTGTTAAATGTCCCTCCTTCCTGAAAGTTACCCCCACCACTGGATGCAAGTGGTGACTGCGAGGAGGTCATAAAACCAGAAGTCCCCCCAAATCACAAGGGATTCATCAACCTCCAAGTCACAGCAACTCTACATACTTGAAAATTAAAAACTGGCCCACTACATTGCATTGAAATTTTACAATTTCAAAAAAGAAAACTACAGGAGATATTGCAAGTTCCATTCCAGACTGCTGCAGTAAAGTGAATATCACAATACAGCAAGTCACATGAATTGTTTTGGTTTCCCAGTGCATATGACAGTTAGCCTTACCCTATTTTGTAGTCTATTAAGTATGCACTAGTATTATATCTAAAGAAACAATGTATATAGCTTAGTTAAAAATTACTTTATTGCTAAAAAATGCTAACCTTCAACTGAGCCTTCAGGGAGTTATTTTGCAATAGTAACATCAAAGATCATTGATCACAGATCACCATAACAAATACAATCATTGTGAAGAGGCCTGAAATATTGTGAGAATTACCAAAATGTCACACAGAGAGATGAAGTAAGCAAATGCTGTTGGATTTTCTTGATGCAGTGTTGCCACAAACCTTCAATTTATAAAAATCCAATAAGGCAAAGTGCAATAACATAAGGTACGCTTGTAAAATTATTTATTGAGTTTCCAATAGAAAAGGTACAGATTTAAAAAAAAATAAAACTCTTTGCAATAGGCAGCTTAAATTATGTTATTTGAATCTAAAAATAAAGCCAGTACATCTTCCCATCCTTCTCTATTTCTGTCCCCCAAAAAAGAGACGTGCTTACCTTTGGGCATGTGAATAGCTTACAAACAAAAAACAAAAAACTGTTAAGTCTATTAAAAGAAGCACTGCTTAATCAGAGGAGAGGAGGAGCTGAGCTGGGTGGTATGGAAATGACTCTGGAGCCTCTGAGCAAGGCAGGAGTCGAGATCTTGTAACAGTGCTGTGATGAGGTGTTCTAGAGGTGGGCAAAGCCAGGAAACCACTTAATGTAGAAACACTGAAGGAGTGTCAATGGAAACAATCTGTGCTCTTCACACTCCAGAACTGTATGGAGGTCAGGGAGCACAGAGCCTCTAGAAATTGCACATGTAAATCCCTACCCAGGCCAGGCAGGAAGAAGACAACCAATGAATCAGGTTGGGTGTTAGTGATATGAGTTGAAAAGAATAATATGCTTTCCTCTTAAGGCTAGCGTAAGAAAAACAGAAAACACAGCAATACATTATAACTGATATGGGTGAACAGGAAACTGTGGACGGCAGTGCAAGGCCCATGCCCTGTATAAAGGAGAGGACTGTTTCTCAGCTCCAATTAATGTTGTTATGTTAAAATATGAGCACCTGGGGACTTCCCTGGTGATCCAGTGGTTTAGACTCCATGCTTCCAATGCAGGGGGTGTGGGTTCGATCCCTGGTTGGGGAACTAATAACCCACATGCTGTGGAACACGGTCAAAATTTTTAAAATAAATTAAAAAAAAAATTTTTAATATGTGAGTGCTTAAATTACTAAAAACATATACACTACTCAAGTCAAGCCAATCAAGTCCTGCCAGAGGGATATCAATACACAACCTCTAGAATGAACAGGGGTGGATTACATTTGACTTAATTAGTGATTACAACTAGTGGAAGTGTATCATCTGAAGTCATCTGATAAGTCTAGATTGACACTTATCAATTATTTACAATTAATTCATTTACTGTTTGGTACCTAACCAAGAAACTCATTTAACTCAGTTTCTCATTATCACCAGTAACTGACCATCCCACTGGTTTCCTGTCCATTTCCTTACCCTCATTGGATGGATATCAGCATATGGAGGCTTTCCTTCAGCCATTTCTATGGCTGTTATTCCCAATGACCAGATGTCTGCTACACAGTTGTATCCAATTTCCTGGATCACTTCTGGAGCCATCCAAAAAGGTGTTCCTATCACTGTATTTCGCTTGGCCATGGTATCCTGAAACAGAAAGGAGAGAGATCAACATTAACCACTGAAACTGTTGAGAAAGAATCCTTCTAACAATAGTAACTGTCATGGGCTTGAAATACATACACAAACCATACTCAAACACGATCAAGTAAGTAAGTCACAAAACAAATTCAAATGACATTGAAACATAAAAGATTCTCAATCAATTATTAAAACACAAAAATAACTATCAACCAGTTAATGAAACACTAAAATGAGACTAACAAAAATTAAAAAGATTACTAATAACTCATATGGATAATAGCATAGAAAAAAATCAGATATCAAAATACAATGATAAAGGAACATAAGTTGGTACAATGTTTTAGTAGGCAATTCAGCAATATTTATTAACTTTAAATGTCCTTATCCTTTGATTGAAATCTATTTCTAGAAATGTATCCTATGTATAACTATCCCAAGATAGATGCACAGGTATTATAAAAATAATTATAATAGAAGGGCTGGAAAAAGGGCATCTGTCTATTCATTTGTAAAACTATACACCTGAATTCCTAACTTATACTTTCAGCAAAATAAGTTCAAATAGGTTAAAATTTTAAATGTAAAGAACAAAATCCAAAAAGCACTCAAGGAAAGTGCAGATGAATAGTTATATAAGGTTGGAGCAGAAAACGACTTTAAAACATGACATCATGAAGATGGGAGTATTTTTCAAATTGATTTATGATTCAACACAATCTCAACACAATTCAGTTCAATCCCAACCAAAATCTAAATGAAGTCCCACTTTTATTCTTGTTTTTATTGCTCGTGCGTTTAGTGTCATATCCAAAACATCATGCCAAGACCAACGCCAAGGAGCTGTTCCCCTGTTTTCTTCCAGAAGTTCTGGGGCTTCAGACCTTACATTTATTTTAATCCATTTTGAGTTAATTTTTGTGAGTGGTGTAAGAAAGAGGTCTAGTTTTACTCTTCTGCATGTGAGTATCAGGTTTACCCAAGAACACTTATTAGAGCCCATCTTTTCTTCGTTGAGCAGTCTTAGCTCCCTTGTCAAATATTAACTAAGCATGGGTTTATTTATGGGTTCTTGATTCCATCCCATTGGTCTATGTGTGTATTTTTGCGCCAATACTATACTGTGTTGATCACTTTAGCTTTGTAACATAGTTTGAAATCAAGAAGTATGAAGCCTCCAGCTTTGTTCTTTCTCAGGACTGGTTTGGATATATGGGGCCTTTTCTAATTCCATATGAATTTCAAGTGTTACTTTCTATTTCTGTGAAAATCATCAATTACTAAAAACAACTGATACTTTAAATTTATAATATCTTTTACACAGCTCCAGAAGAATTTTTCTTTTCAATTTGGTTTCCTTATTAAGACTGTAATTTAGATAATAATGTTTGGTATTGTTTACTTATGTATTAACAACAAAATCTCTTGAAGGGCTCACAAATCATGATATGGAGTAAGTTCCTGAGGTGGTTTTGTTTTTTTTTTTAATTTTTTAATAACATCAAAGCAATTTTTGATTTGTTTTTCATTTAAATTTTTTAAAAATAAAAAATATACATGATACAGCCCTAAACAAACTATATATGCATATATAGTTGTCTACTACCCAAGAAACCTGATATATGACATTGCTGCAAATTTTTGTATACATCTGTCTAGAACTCTTATTTTCTACACAAATTTCACACATCTTATGTATTTTACAAAATTATGTAATTTTAGACTTCCTGTTTTGAAAGCATAGTGTTTTTCATGGCCATGCACTACTGAGGTAGGAGGAAAATCAACAGCCTATATTTTGGAACCAAACGAGGAGAATGCTTTCAGTAAAGCAGCTACCAATTGCTACCTAGAGGGTGAATGAGATGACATTATTTCTTATTCAAGGAAAGCTGATTAGTTTTTATTCCTTTTGTAAATACGATGATGTAGCCCAAAAGAATTTAAACATCTACTCTATCATTTCCTGTTTTAGCTTTTAATTTTTTTCAAGCTAAACAGAGTTAAACTATGGGACCTGAGCTCCAAGGAAGGATCTAAAGTAACCTACCAGCTCATTTGTAACCTATTGGCATATTTTTTAATCTTTTACAACACAATTATATCAAATATTACATTTTTAAATAATAAAAAGAACAGTTCTCAAGAAAGACCTGAAAGTTACCAACACAAGTAACACTTTCACTTACTGTAAGTTGACCTGCTACCCCAAAATCTGCAAGTTTTGCATGACCTTCTGTATTGAGCAAAATATTTCCTGCTTTGATATCTCGGTGTATTTTTCTCATAAAATGAAGATATTCCAGTCCCTTAAGTGTTGACTGTAATATTGTAGCTATTTCATCTTCTGTTAACTGAAAAAATGAAAAATTAAAATTCTATTAGATTACATCAGCACATTTGAGAAAGGAGAAAAAATTTCGATCCAAACTCCTCTCCCAAAATATAAATAAGATCTCATTCAATGTGTAAAAGAGCATGACAGCTTAAAGTACCATTGCTATGCTGACCACTCCCAAAGTTATATTTCCAGGCCAGATCTCTCCCCAAAAATCAGATTTATATATCTTCCCACACCACACTTCCAGCTGAATACCTAACAAGCATCATAGGCATAACATGTCAAAATCAAATTCTTTATTTTTACAACCAAGCTACCCCTTTCCATACCACCCACCTACTCTATTCTTTCCACGGTCTTCTCTTTTTCAGTAAAAGGGAATTTAATTCTTCTAGCTGCTCTGGTCAAAAATCTTGAAGTCATGCTTGGCTCTTCTCTATCTTCAAACTATATGCAATTATATCTTCTGGGTTCACCCTGATTCAAGCCACCATCATGCCCTGCCTGAATTATTCTAATCATCTCCTAATTGGTCTCGCTGCTTCTGCCCTTAACCTTATATAATGTATATTCTACACAGTAGCCAAAACGAACCTTTTAAAATGTAAGCCAGGTACTTCCCTGGTGGTTTAGTCCGTAAGACTCTGCTCTCCCAACACAGGGAGCCTGGGTTCAATCCCTGGTCAGGGAACTAGATCCCACATGTTGCAACTAAGAGTTAGCTCAATATCTGCTCAAAATCCCCATGGCTTCCTAAGTCAAGTTCTCACTAAGGCCTCACCTTATCTGGCTCCCAGCTACCTTCATCTTCTACCACTTTCTACCTCGTTCATCCTGTTTCAGCCACGTAGGCTTCCCTGCTGTTTCACAAACATTCTAAACACACTCACACTTCTGGGCCCATTTATCTGCTGTTCTCTCTGCCTGCAGTGCCCTTCAACCAGATTTCTGGATGAGATGGTTCCTTACGTCACTATCCCTGCCCAAACGTCACCTCATTAGGAAATTAAAGAGGGCTTCACTAGATCCCTCCACTCCTAGATCATTCTCTATCCCCTTATTGTACTTATAGTTTAATGCAACATTACCACCATCTCACATACATACATAATCTGTATACCTATTCATGTGACATCTTCACTACTAAACATGTGAACTCCATTTTAAAATGCCTTTGAAAAAAATAAAAAATAAAAAATAAAATGCCTTTGAGTTGCTTACTACTGGATCCCAGCACCAAGAAAGCCTCCTGGCATATAGCAGGTCCTGAAAAAAATATCTGTTAAATGATGATGAATAAATGTAAGCAAGAATGCAGGAGGCTGCACAGAACACCTGATCAGTCCAAAGCTGCCTCTGTGCTGCTCCCAGTCCAGCCCTACACAAATTCAACCAACAGACCCTCAGTCAGTCCCCCTCATGACAACAACACACATTTAGAAGAGAATATGCAGTGGGGCAAAAAACATGTGATTTGAGTTTAGAAAGATCTAGTCTTTAGCCTTGGCTCTACTTCCTTGTCATGACTGAAGCAAGTTATCTAGTAATGTATCTGAATCTCAGTTTCTCAATCTAGAAAAATAGGTAAATCACCTTTTTTAAAGAGTGTCACAAAAATCAAACAATATAGTAAGGCACGGAAGAATCCATAATAACTAGAAAATGCACTTCTCCAAGAGCAGGGTCATTGTTCTACTGACTACTGGATCCCGAAGGCCTAGATCGGTGTTCTAGAAATACTTACTAAATGAATAAACAAAGAGTTAATGCAACTGAACCAAAACTAGAAACCATGACTCCTAGCTTTTCTCCCAGACATCACAGTAACAGCAAACTATCTTTCACAGAGAGGAATCTGATGAGGACTTAGTGGAAGTTAACCTGTGAACACCGGGGCAGAAGGAGAAAACCCAACCAACTTTAAACACGCAGAACTCATTGCTGGGCTTTCCTGGTGGCGAATCTGCCCACCAATGCAGGAGACACAGGATCAGTCCCTGACCCAGGAAGATCCCACATGCCAAGGGGCAGCCAAGCCCGTGCACCACAACGCCTGTGCTCTAGAGCATGAGAGCCGAAACGACTAAAGCCCACGCGTCTTAGAGCCCGTGCTCCGCAGCAAGAAGAGCCACCGCAACGACAAGCTCGTGCACTGCAACTAGAAAGGAGCCCCCACCTGCTGCAACTAGAGAAAAGCCGGCACAGCAACGGAGACCTGGCACGGCCAAAACACAAGAAAGAACTCCTGACCTAAGATCTGAGAGTCATTTTCCCCAGTTAGAAATAAGTAACGCACTTCACTGGACTAAGTTGGTTGGTATCAAAACTGCCACATTTAGTAGACAACAAAAAAGCAGAGAGGGGAAAGAACCATGGAAAGGGGAAGATGAAACAGTCATCTGTCTAGATACATTAGTAGGAGACTGTACATGAATACTGAGCAGAGAAAAGAAGAGGGTGAGAGACCAGAGCAGCTGCACGATTCCAGAAGGTAAACTTACCGTTTTATTTCGTAATCGAATGATATCAGATACAGAACCAGCCCCACAGTACTCCATCACGATCCACAAGTCTGTGTTCTTAAAGTAACTGCCATAATATTTGACTACATGAGGGCTAGGGAGAGAGACAGTACTAATTAGTGGAACAACCTTCAAACATCCCTATGAATTCATGCTGTAAAATACGTGAAAATCCATTTTTCAGTTCAAAAGATCAATTATTCGTATTTAAGGTTAAAATGGGCACCCTCTTGATAACAAATTAAAATTGTATTGATTTCTGGAGGTCAATAAATAACAGCAGTGCAAAAACTGTGTGGGTCCCTTAACCAGCATTTTTAAGTCTGCAACTCACCCTAAGAAAAGAATCACAGATTTCAAAAAGAAATAGTTACCATAGTCACAGAACTGCTTAAAAAAGTGAAAATTTAGAAAGCATCTAAAAGTCTGACATTAGGGAGTTTATTTAAGAAATAATGATATATCCGTATAATGGAATAACCATGAATCCATGGAAAATGTAATAGAAGAATACTTGATAAGAAGATTCTGTTTACCAAAACACAAACAAAAAAGGCAGGTTACATAATAGTGAGCACAGTAAAACTCCAAGACATACAGAAGGACATGTATACCAGGGAGTATTTAACAATGATTATCTCTCCAAAGGGAAACGTGGTTTTCCTTTCTGATTTGCATTTTTCCAAGAAGTCACATATACTTTGTAATAAGGAAAAATAAAACTACACTACAATCTATTATAAGGGAAAAATATTCAGAATTAGACCTGAAATATAAAGTCTTGAAGAAAGATTTCAGGAAAAAGTCAAAATCCCTTTAAAATGAAATAATTTGAAAAAAAAAAAAAAGAATGCATCTTCTGAAGCTACCAGCTTTAACGAGCTAGATCATTATCAGGGCTAAGTAATATTGTGCAATATGGTAATGGAACAGGCTAAAACCAACTCAGTTGCATTAACTCTCAAAATTTCAAATGCCCCTTCATCCTTGGGAAACAAATTAAACAAACAAATTAAACAAAATGACAGGATATCAGGAAAACACACACACACATGCAAAATGAATATTAATGGAGAAATGGATGAATAAATCTCTTAAGATACATAGTACCACATCTGCGATCCCATCTCTGAATTTCTATAGTATTTATTGTCTCCATAAGGCAATTACTGTCAGGTATTTACTGTTGGAATATATCCTATACAATCATGCATCAACTAGATTTTCCCGTGCACATATAAGCCTGGGCTGTCCAATTACAATCTGCAAACTCCAAGAGGACAAGCGTGCTGCCCTGAATTTCTCTGTACTACTTATGATGCTTAGTATAGAGTAGGCTCTTTGAAATCTCTCTTTAGAGACATGTGCACACTGTTTGAAACACGGCTCTTACACAGCCTATCAAAAGTGACAAAGTCCAACCTGCCCACTGGAAAGAGCTGCCATCATATATCTTATGCACAAGACAAAAGAAACTGCTACCAAAAACAAAACAAAACAACTGCTACCTTACTCTAGTCCCTCCAAACAAGAAAAAGGATGGTTTTAGCCAGTTGAGAGTAACCACAAAAGTATCATGAAAAAAAGAAAAGGGGACTTCCTTGGTGGTCCAGTGGTTAAGATTGTGTCTTCCAATGCAGGGGATGCAGGTTCAATCCCTAGTCAGGGAACTAAGATCCACGGGGAACATGCCTCATGGCCAAAGCACCAAAACATAAAACAGAAGCAATACTGTAACAAATTCAATACAGATTTTATAAACATGGTCGAGGGCTTTCCTGGTGGTTCAGATGATAAAGAATCTGGCTGGCCTGTGTGAGACCTGGGTTTGATTCCTGGATCAGGAAGATGCCCTGGAGAAGGAAATGGAAACCCACTCCAGTATTCTTGCCTGGAGAATTCCATGGACAGAGGAGCTTGGCGGGCTACAGTCCATGGGGTTGCAAAGAGTCAGACACAACTGAGGAACTAACACTTCAAAAACATAGTCCATATAACAAAATCTTTAACAAATTTATTCCTGAAAAGGAAAAAAAAAAAAAAAGGTGGGGAGAACAGAAGTGATTGCATTCACAAGTCTACAAGACTGAAGGGCTCTTGGGCAAAATGCCTAGCAGGTAGCCCCACTATCTTAAGCTTTACCAACAGGAGAGACTGAGTTGATCTGCTGACCCAAAGAGCTTCAGAAGTACAAAGACAGCCTTGGGCTGCACGACTTATCTCATTCTCAACTCCCAAGAGCTGCCCCAACCCCTCAGTTTGTGTTTCTCAGTCTGAACTGAGGAAGCCTGCTCCCCTGAAGTGACCCCACCATGTTGTCATGGAAATTCGGGGCAAACCACGTGCATTTCTGCGGTCGCCTGTGGCCCGACTTCCTGCTTGCAGCATTTGACAAATCTTAGTTCCTCAAAAATAAACACTTAACTACTCTCAGTTGGAATAGTTTCTTAAACTTGTGAAGGAAGGGACAGAACAGTAATATATAAATAAGTGTTCTCTTTTTATAGGACCGTTTGCTGTTCTAAGGTTTCTGGAAGTAAAAGCATTTGAACTATCTCTTCTGAGCTGTCTGCAGAAATGTTTTCTCAGTAGGAAGTAAGAGAGATCATTATCAAAAAAAAAAAAAGTCTAGCCAGCACCACCTTCTGCCTCGTTGCCTCTTCTTCCTAGTTTTGAAAAGAGCTAAACTGAAACAAAACAAAACAACGCAGAAATAGAAACTCTGAAAGTTTAGCTGCTGAAAAACACGAACTTTTTCATCATTTTTTTTCTGAAAAGAAACAAGTAAGTCCACTTAACTCTCCCTTTTGCAAAATATCTAAGTCGATGCAATTTTAGGAATCAAACTCTAAATAATCACAGCAAATTCAAAACTGTTATTATCTCCAGAGCAACACCATAAGCCTTTACCTGTCACATTGCTGCATGATAGAGATTTCTTTGATTATCTCCTGCAGGTCTGATTCCACAGGAACTTGCTTAATAGCAACAATCTGACCAGTCTCTTTATGGATAGCTTTGTACACACTGCCATAGGATCTGTAATTGGGGGGGGACAAGGATACGTACAAAGTCAAAACAAGCCAAGAGATTAAAAAGTGCTTAAAACTCAAACAACTCACCATTCTAATTTACATCCCCAGGTGCCCAAGACATATATACTTAGCTACACTTGCAAAACTGAGATAGCTAAAGTATTGATACTTTGGGGAAAAACTGTCCTTAAGAGAACTACCATCTTATAAACTTAAATTTAAAGTTTACTGAATGTATAAGTATGAAGTAACAGTCATAAGGGCAGTAGCTACCACGTCTGCTGGAAGCAGCATACTCTGAGGTTCACCCTTACAGAAAAGCCATGAAGGGATCATTATCTCTATTTTACAGGCAAATGAGAAAAGGTTCAGAGAAGTTACACGACTTGCCCAAGGTTACATTAAGTGATAAATAAGCAGTCAGTGCAGGATATGAATCCAGGTGTGTCAGAACACAAAGCCTATATTCTCTCTACGTTTGTATTAGGGCAAAAAAAAAAGGGAGGGGGTCTTCCTTTTCTTGCACTCATTCTAGCATCACAAGGTCTTTTAGTCCTTGCTGTCTTTAGTCCTTGCTCCTCTTACTTGCAATAATATTTAAAATATTAGGAAATTTTTACTCCTCTTTAATTCTTTTTATCTTTCGCTTCATCTTCCCTTAAGAGTTTATCATCAAGATAAATAAAAAGTTAGGTAGCCTTTCAATTTGGGGGCTATAAGAGCAATACAGGAGAAGGCAATGGCAACCCACTCCAGTACTTTTGCCTGGACAATCCCATGGACGGAGGTGCCTGGTAGGCTGCAGTCCATGGGGTCACACAGAGTCGGACACGACTGATGCGACGACTTAGCAGCTGCAGCAAAAGCAATACATTTAGAATCTAAAGACCCAGGACTGGAGGCCTACCACCACTACTTATCAATATTATTACAGTATTACAGTATATATCAGACATATTATTAACCTTGTACCTCAATTTTCTCACCTGTAAGATGACAACAACATTACAAGAGAATTGCAATGGTTAAATGAGGTATCATTATCTTACATAGATTATATTTTCGCTTAAATCCTGGATGGCTGTCAGTGAAATAATGAGCAAATTGTCTTTCATAGTTCCCAAACACACCTGTTTCTTCATACTCCCTTGGTGAAAAAAAGATCAAAATAACAGTGCACCTAATACATCAAAGTAGCTGAGTGCTCTAGCTAACAAAATGCTACTCAAGGATTGTTTCAATGTGAAAGTCACACAAAAATTTTTTTTAAAGTCTATGCAAAGCACATAAAAAATTTCCATTCCATCAGACTCTCTTATTGGCAAAACTAATATAATGATATTTAAATGTTGCCTAAAACTTATTTTTTTGCAAGGGAAAGACAACCACTGACCATGTGTGGAAGATCCAACCACTGCCTCTTCTTCCTTGCCGACTAGAAAAATCTGCCATCATATATCTTATGCACAAAAGAAACTACTACCAAAAAATAAAACAAGAAAACTGCTACCTTACTCTGGTCCCTCCAATCAAGAAAAATGAGGGTATTAGCCAGTTGAGAGTAACCACAAAAGTATAATGAAAAAAAGCAAGGGGGACTTCCTTGGTGGGCCAGTGGTTATGACTGTGTCTTCCAATGCAGGGGCTGCAGGTTCAATCCCTAGTCAGGGAACTAAGATCCATAGGAAACATGCCTTGCCTTATCTTCCTTGATAGGATAACCCCAAGATTTGTGACCAAATCTTTGTGACCAAATGCTTGGTCCCAGGGGATAAAGCCTGTTGGTCCAAGCCAGTCCCAAGATTCTGATCCCTTTCTGCCAGTGACTGAACTAGCAGTAAGTCTAAGACCTAGTACAGACCAGTGAAATTTGAGAGGAATTCTTCTGAAGGGTCCCTGGGAAAGACTTTCTTCCCTGATAAAAAAAAAAAAGCAGCTTACAAAGTGGCCCATTTTCACCTGCTTCTTCCTTTCCTGCTTCTAAAGTGGCCATCTTGAGACTGTGACTTACACAAATGCTAAATCATTATCAAACACTTAGCCATTCTGGAATCTTTCACCCCCAGACTTTTCTGCTCGTTATTTAAATGCCCTTACTGGTTAGCCACTGTTAACTGGGGAGTCTGTAACTTTCATCCAAATTTACTCTTGATACCCTAGGTCAAGGGTCCCCAACTCCCTATTAGGAAGCAGACTGCACAGCAGGAGGTGAGTGGTGGAGCGAAACTGAGCGAGTGAAGCTTCATCTGGATTTGCAGCCGCTCCCCACCTCGCGCATTGCCACCTGAGCTCTGCTTCCCTGTCAGACCAGCAGTGGCATTAGATTCTCATGGGAGCACACATCCTAACCTAAAGTCAAGGCAGAATAGCCTGAGATTGCCACAGGTTAGAAGCAAAGGGAATAATAAATGCAATATGCTTGAATCATTCTAAAACCTTCCCCTCACTCCCGGTCCCTGGAAAAAATGTCTTATATGAAACTGGTCCCTGGTGCCAAAACTGTTGGGGACCACTGTCCTAGGTCCCATATGTGTAAATAAGTTCTTTATTTCATCTTCACTTTGGAAAGAATTTTACTGGATATAGAATTCTTCTTTGACAATAGCTTTCTCTCAGCACTTGTACTATAGTTTATCAGCTTCTATTGTTGTAGAGAAGTCAACTGTTACCAGGTTATCATTTTTCATGGGTAATCTTGGGCAATCTCTGCTGTAGTTCTTAAGACTTCCTCTTTATCCTTCACAATCTATAATTTTACCATAACTAGCAGTCGATTTATTCGGCACTTCATAAACTTCTTCAGTGTGAAGGCTTATATCTTTCTTCAAGTCTGGAAATTTCCTAGTATTACTTATTTCCTGTCTCTTCTTCTAGAGTTCCTATTGGACCTATAATGGACCTTGTCAATCCATGCTGTCTCCCTAGTTTCCAACACTGCATTTCTGTCCTGCATTTTGTGATCAATCTCATTTCGAGCTTTCAACTCACAAATTCTCTTTTCAGTTTATCCAGTTGACAGCTTTTGCAATTTATTGGGTATTAGAACTTCAATTATTATAGTTTTCATTGTCAAGCCCTTCAACTGTTTCTTTTTCACGGGGCTGTTCATGTTAATAATTTTGTGTTTGTCTTTTAAGGATTGTACTCCCTCCTTTTATCTTTTTGAAAATTGTAAACAAACATGAAATTCCATTTCAGATTGCTCCATTATTTCTATTTCCTTGGGTGGGAATTTCCTATTTGTTACATCTGTTGATTATTTAATGGCACTGGATTTCCTCGTATGGGTTTTACTTTGAATGATTCTTTTCTATACAGTGCTCACTGTTCTTGAGCATTTCATGACATCATGATGGTTTCATGATTTCCTCAGCTCAGTCATCTAGGCTGTACAATTTAAACTAGATCTTGCAGTAGGATTTAGGGTTTTCAGCCCTTAAGACACCATACCTAAATACACTCCAGGCCCAGTTCCTATAGTCAGACTAGTCCCTCTTTTTCCCCAGGCCACAGGCAACCGATACAAAAACTTCCTGAAGGAAGCCCAATCTCCCGACAACAACATGAAATGCTTTTCCCTCCTATTACTATGACAGCTATCTTTTCTATCCCTGGTCTATAGCTGGCTATGTATCCTTATATTTTAAAAACTAATTTTCATTCATTATTCTTGTATATTTGAAATGGAAAAGAGAGGTTCCTGCATGCACTTACTGAGAAATCTTGACTAGAAAACCCTCCACACCTCGCTATGCTATCTTGACAGCCAAGAAAACTCCAAGAGCTCATATGAACAATTAAGATTCACAATTCCAGACTGCACTTAAGAGTACAATTTAGAAGGCTTCAGCAAGAACCACTTGCTGAAGGTAAGTCCAAGACCTGACTCTCTACCAAAAAAAACTACAGTGACTCAATGAATTTTAACTGGCAGAGAACAAAACAAATAATACTACAAAGGAGGTGCTTCACACAAGTTCTGCAAGGCAAGGGTCAATGCAGAGAATTAGAAATTATACAGTATCTGAGGCCAAATTAACCAGGTATCAGTCTTAACCACATCACTCACTAATTACAAAACCATGGGCAAAATGTTTTTGCTCTTCTCCCCTGATTAAAAACTTAAATGAGTCAATGGGTAAAACTTTAAATATAATAGAAGGAAGAAAGGTGAAAGCTCTAATCAAAACACTTTCTGAGGGCTGTCCATCCATTCTGGTTTGGAGCTGTGGCTCTGCTCTGCCACAGATCCACGATTTCCTTCAAACACAGAATGGCAGCAGTCTTGGGAATCCGACACAATCCTTTAGCCAGGGCTCACTACACAAGGCCCAAATCCATGCGAGTTCACAGCCCATTCATTTTCCAGAACCATGGCATGGTCTTTTGTGTTCAGGAAGGAAGTGCAGTTCAGGTCTTCCTTCAGGATTCTGCTGATTAAATGAAGCTTGTTCAGGCTCATTCAGTCAGGATGACAGAAATGCAAGCACTTGTGGTAACATTTAAAACAACAATATGATGACAACATGCGAAGATCTGAAGCTTTGTTTATTTTCTTTCTGGTGATAGATTTACAGGGACATTTCCAAGGTCCTTAAAGACGACATCCACAGATCTAAAATGTAATTTAAAATAATCATAATTAGCTTAGTTTCTCCTTACATTATATTTCCAATCACTCTCTATCTGTAGTTTTCTTTTGACACTCCTCTAACCCAATCCACCCAAACAGAGCTCCCTTCAAGAACATCTAAATATACTTTTTAAGACTTAAGATTTAACTTTGTTTGGGCAAGATAAGATCTGAAAAGTGCTTTGATTGATATATTTAAAAATAAAATAATAGCTGCCATTTACTGTGCCCTTACTAGATGACAGGCACTGTACTACGTATTTTAGTCTCATTATCTCATGTAATACTCAATGTAATCCTATGAGGGAGATGTTAATATCTTCACTTCATAGCTGAGGCTTGTGAAGCTTCAAGATGTTCATCAACCTTCAGAGTCTATGTTCTTACTACTGTAACACACTTTCATTAAAAATAAAACAAGTCAAAAATAAATAAATAAATAAAACAAGTCAGTTACATACCTAGTCAATTATGCCTACCACTCTTGATCTTATTTTAAGTATAACCTGTGAGCATGGTTAGATTAAGGGCCTTGCACTCACTACATGGAGGAAAATACAGAGGATATCATGCTAGAGTTGAAAATGGCAGGCAAAAGACATAGAGGGATTGGATTTTCTTTCCCCATACCTTTAAGGATGCCAAGTCAACTTGTAGTTTCAGGTTCATCATGTACTTGTCTTTTAGTAGCACAGATGTCATCTTTTACTTCCCTTCTCTGCTTGATTTCTTGCTTAATTCCAAGAGTATTTTTCCAACTTTCTAAAAGATGATGACTAATGTTTTTCACAAGGAGGTAATCCGTGAAATCCTATTCCATGTAATCCAGGATTGGGTTTAGCATTTGTTATCTATATTAGGCATAAATAACACTGACTCCAAATTAAACTTATGATATATAAAAGCTGATTGTAAAGAACAAGCACTAATTAGACAATAGACATTTTTATAAATTAACATTTCAGGTCTTCTCTTGAACCAGAATTACTTCCAAGAGATTTTACATAATACACAAACACACACCCACACATTTACATGCTTATTGATGTATAAACTACCTCTGAAAAATACATAAAAAAATGCTATACTGGTTCCTTCTGGGTGGCTGAGAGAGATAAGAGGCAGATTTTCTTCAGGCCATTTTTTATGCCTTTCAAATCTTGAATCATGTGACTTGATTACCTATTCAAAAATGAACAACAAAAACTTTGAAAGGGTGTCTGATATTTTAATGTCTTGGTCATTACAGAAAAAGAAATAAATATACAAATATCAAAAGTATAAAAAATTATGATGTAACCTTTACTGTATCATGAAAGCCAATGATGGTCACTATCTATTACCAAATATCATACTACTTGTATTCTATAAACTCATTCACAAATCTGTGTTTCAAGAAGTCCTCCAGTTCCCAACCTGGGATCCTAGATCTCTTAGGAAGTTGTAAAGGTAGTGACAGTCCTTGATTTATTTTCTGTATTTCCCAAAGTGACTGACTAAAATGCTGGATTCCTTTTTTATAAAAAAAAAAAAAAAAAGAAAGAAACAAGTTATTGCATATCTCTCAGAGGCTACAAACAGAAAATTAAAGTATGTCTGATTAATAAAATTTCTTGAACAAAGTATAAACTAATTAGTATTATCTCTTGAATAGATGTAATCATGCATACCACAGATTTTGAGAGAAAACAACAGATGTCCATGGTACTGAAAAGACCAGGAATCACTAACTCTATCGAGTGATTGGGGGATGAGAGAAAGGGCATTTCAAGCTGTAAATTTACCTCCCACCCCACCCAGAGCAAGGCTGATATGCAATATTTCCCTTTCTTTTCCTTAGCTTTACAAATTATTGCATGAGAAACGTTCATATTTTGCTCGTGTTGGGGCAGGAAAAAGACTTGAGATCTACTAGTCCACCTATGGAGAAGGTAATGGCACCCCACTCCAGTACTCTTGCCTGGAAAATCCCATGGATGGAGGAGCCTGATGGGCTGCAGTCCATGGGGATGCTAGGAGTCAGACATGACTGAGCGACTGAGCGACTTCACTTTCATGCACCGGAGAAGGAAATGGCAATCCACTCCAGTGTCCTTGCCTGGAGAATCCCAGGGACGGCGGAGCCTGGTGGGCTGCCATCTACGGGGTCGCACAGAATCGGACACGACTGAAGCGACTTAGCAGCAGTCCACCTATATTTTTCTGGGCACTCACCCTTCTCCAAGTTTCTCTAAGACATCAAACACTTCTTCTGGTTGTTTAGTTAAACTATCTTCATCCAACTTTTTCAGCTGCCTGTGAATGAAGAAATTTAAGCATAAAATAACATTGTACTTACCAGCAACTTGCAAGAACACAAAACACATTATTTATTTTACAATTAGCATCTGAGGAATTTCTCTACAAAGCCTATGCTGGTAAATGCCAATAAACGCAAGCTAAGAGACCTTTAAGGGAAGCTGAAGGGCTGGTCTGTGGAAATGTTACCTGTGTCCCGGGTCACCTTCATGAGCAAAATCAGTACCGGAGGGTAAAGAGCTATCATGAGGCTGACTTCAGTTCCACAGGTGTAAGAATTTTCTAACAATAAAAGCTGCTCTGAAGTGGTTTAGGCTACAATTAAGAAGTCCCTGATTCCCATCACTGGAGCATCTAGACAGAAAACGAGTTCTTGTGTAGCTGAAATGCAGTAGAGTAGATTTAAGCATTAGCTAGAATCCGTTTAAAACTTGAGATTCCGTCAACTAAGATGGCATAATTCTGTTCAGAAAAAATGTTTAATGCAAGCTTGGTAATGAACTGAAACATGGTCTTAGACTGGAGGTCAAGGAAGATGGAGAAGAATCTTGCTCTCCATTAGCAAGATTTTGGTACTTATTTTTGTTGAAACACATGGATTCTATAAGGTATCACAGAAACAGAAAGTGGAGAGCACATGCTTAGATGTGATTAAAAGTGAAAAAATAACCAGACAGCTGGAAGTTTCAAATAGTCTCACCAAGACTCTCCTGGGGTGACTGTGTAGCTGACTATTCCCCAAAATCAAAGATTTTGCACACAACTTCCAGATAATTCAGATTTTTCTATGACAAACCATGATCAACATAGAGGTTATAAATTAAGCACAGGGTTTTTTTTTTAAACTGAGAACTGTGAAAATTGTTAACAGTCTTAGATGAGCTGTCTGCTAAGGAGCATTTGTGTGCGTGCATGTGTATGTTCTACACCATGGTTTCCTGAAACTACAAAGGACAACAAAGAAAGGAGAGCTCAGGAAGTGGTGAAATATGGAAGCAGTCCCCTGGAAATTTATTTGTAAAGAAAAATGTTTAAACTAGCTGGACAATACCAGCTTTTACAAGGAAAGATGAACTAAAATACACACGCACAAAAATGTGTACCTTCCTAGAGAAAATGGTAAAATGGTAAGAGAAGCCAAAAAACCCCCACATACCTGAACACATCAAATGTATCTTCCAGTAAACGCTGATTTCAAGAAGACAATCTCAACAGGATTTTACAAAATATCAAAGACTAGAGGAAGGGAGAACTGCTCTAGGTCAATAATTGTCATGACTTGAAAATTAACCAAAGAAACAACCACACTGACCTTTGAAAATCAAAAGGTCCTAAAAATTAAATTCCAATGACATCACAAAAACTCCCAGGTTCAAAACAAAAAGGGTTGAAGTGAAACTTCAATGTCAGAAGTGAAATTTCTATGAACCCAGAAATCAGAATGAATATCTCACAATGGGGATGGGGGGGGCGGGAGTGGGTAAAGCATTGATTTATAACTGTATAAACAATGGACACAATACCTCTTTTCTCAAGTATAAAGTTTTATAAACAGTTTATGTAAAGAAAGATCAGATGTGTCCCTTTGAAGTGGTGGCTTTTTGGTTTATAAAGAGCAAAACTCACTATTTCAACTATTAGAAACATGGCATAACAAAGGAAACCACCACTGCCATGAGACAGCTGCAGGCCTCTGATAATATTCTGACAGACAAACTTTATATGAGTGTTCAGATGCTCCTTTAAAACAGTCTAGGTGGGGTTTTGTTTGGTTTGGGCTTAAAGGATCTTATCATCTCTGGTGCCTGAACCTAGAGGTGGTCTATAAGAACATTTGCTAAATGGACTAATGAATGCAATGATGAGAATCATAAACCTTTCTCAGTACTCTTCATGAGCTTTCAAAATTAAAAAGAAGTTCGCCCCGAGAAAGTACTACTGTGCTATCAACAAATAACAACTCTATGGAAAAACTTTTGAGAAAGGACTCAATGTTTTCTACATGAGTCTTCATGGAAGAAGCACTCTAAGCAAACTGCCCAACTCCGATGATTCAGCCCTTTCGACTTCCCCAGGTCCTAGGTAGCTTCAGTGCTTGCTCATAACTGAACAGGCCGAGCCAATGCAGCCCCCAAGGACCAGATACCAGGGGATGTTCCACTCCTAAGTCAGCTGCGTGGATGGTCAGCATCCCAGAAATGCACTCTACACACTCCACCACAGTATTAGTATCTAATGGCAACTCACTTCTTAAAATCATAAACTTCTAAAAAATAAACAGAAGTGAAAAAACATAAAACTCCTATGCAACCTGTCAACCTTATCATTATTCTCTTGTTGTTGGTTGTTGTTTAGTCGCTAAGTCACGACCAACTGTTTTGCGACCCATGGACTGTAGCCCGCCAGGCTCCTCTGTCCCTGGGATTCTCCAGGCAAGAATACTGGAGTGGGTTGCCACTTCCTTCTCCAGGGGGTCTTCCCGACCAGGGATCAAATCCAACTCCTGAACTGGCAGGTGGGCTCTTTACCATCATCATTCTCTTAGTCACACACAAATATCAAACTCAGGAACACAAAGAGCATTTCCTACCTTGGGATTGCTTTCCCTTATTGGAAACACATGCCATCTGAATCTCTGAAAAGAGACCAGTACCTTTCCAAACACAAATAAGGATGTTCATGAAGTCATAACTCACTGGTCTGGCTAGCTCCCAAACCTCTTTCTCCCATCTTAGAAGTTTTGTAAGGTCCATTTTATTTATATATACCTATTCTCTTTCCACACAGAATTCATTATGGGATACAACAAGTATGTAAGATAAATGGATGGAGCTTTTCAATGAAAATAAAATTTACGTGCCCACCCCAATCTCCTCAAACTCATGTTAAAGTCTTAATGCTCAATACCTCAGAATGTGACTGTATTTAGAGACGGGGCCTTTAAAGAGCTAATTAAGGTAAAAATGAGGTCATATGGGTGGGCCCTCATCCAACACGACTGGTGTCTTCCTAAGAGGAGATGAGGACATAGGTACAGAGGGAGGACCGTGTGAAGACACGGGAAGGAGGCAGCCATCTGCAAGCCAGGAAGTGAGGCCTCGAAAGAAACAACCCTGCTGATGCCCAGACCTCAGACTTCTAGCCTCCAGAGCTGTGAGAAAATAAATTTCTGTTAAGTCATGCCATCTGTGATATCAACGTGGCAGTCCCAACAAACTAATATCACTGGAAATAAAGTTAACTGGCTGAAAGGCAGTTCACTAGCTATGATGAGCAGGAAAGCACCTGTCATTCAAGAATTCAACCCTGTGGAGGATGGGATGATTTCAGAAAAGAGCGTCATCGAAACATATACATTACCATATGTGAAACACAGAACGGATGAAGCAGGGCACCCAAAGCTGGTGCTCTGTGATGGCCTGAAGGGACAGGGTGGAGAGGGAGGTAGGAGAGGGGATCAGGACGGAGGGGACACATGGATACCTGTGGCCAATTCATACTGATGTACGGCAGAAACCATCACAACATTGTCATTATCCTCTAGTTAAAATAAATTCAAATACAAAAAAAAATTTCAACCCTGCAACACTTTTCTCTTGCACATTTAAAAAAAATTTTTTTAATCCAAAAGGCACAGGAATGAGTGTGTCAAAAACCAAAAAGGTTTACTTTTTTGCCCAAGATTATACAGCATAAAGTAAAAGCAGAAACAAAACTCAGATTCCTAATCCTCTCTTCAATTAAACCAGCGCGTCCAGGAGAGAACGAACATATTTCAGAAGGAAATATAACCAGTGTCCATTTATAATTGGATCTGTGGTGTGACAGCAAATACCTGCTAATACACACAAGGCCCTGTGAAACAAAGGTACTCCCAGAGAGGAATCAGAGTGATACAGCTAAGAGCATGGACTTTGGACCAGACTGCCTGGATTAAAATCCCAACTCTGTCACTTAGTAACTGCAACTTCTGGCCAATTGCTAACCTCTCTGGGCCTCAGTTTCATCACCTGTAAAACAGAGATACAGGTGAGAAGACTGCTGTGATGGTCAAACGAGTCAACAGTGAAGGTGAACCATATGAAACTAATATTTTTATACATCAAAAATGGTCAAATATCAGCAAATCCATAAGGTTCAATGAGAGACATGGAAAGCACTGAGAATAATGTCTGGCACCCAGTAAGTGCTAGATGGATGCAATAATCATTTTATTTCAGACTCAGCACACTACAGTAGGGTGACTTACAAGTCTGTCCCAACCAGCTATTTGCCTTCTGCAGTGTTTGTGCACTTCAAACAAAGCCAAGGGCACAGGCCCAGCTGTGGAACCCTTCCCTTCACCTCTCCACTGCCCCACACTCCCACACACTGAACACTTCCTACTTTAGAGCTCATTCTGCTACAGGAAGTCAGAGGGCTCTGTGAAATTGAAGCAAACTTCATGGCACCTCAAGCAGTACTCTCCATTTTTCTCCAGATGTGGCAGAGTGATTGAAAAACCCCAGGGATCCACAGAGTAAATCACTGAAAGAACTGCAACCAACTCAGGAGGTCAGACTATCTAGGATCGGCCACTCCCCCGATCTTGACTTAAAACAGTTCCAGGGAGCAGTAGGATTTGGAGCCGATACAAAACAATAGAGACCTGAAAAAAGGGCACAGTGTGGCTGAGTCCAGTGAGCCAGACCTAGAGCAAAAAAACAAAAGGAAACACACAGGATTGTCTCTCAACTCTTCTGGGCCTCAATTTGCCCATCTTGAAAACAGTCTCTTATTTCTCTATCTACCTCCCAGTGCGGGAGTGAGGAAGATTAGGAAGATCCTGGATATCAGAGAGGAAAGATGCCATCATCTAGAGAGAGGACACTACCAAAAACATCTAAATCGCTGCCCTGCACGAAGCCTCCCTTACTAGACCGCCCACCTGGCACGGCACACCTTCGGCCTCAGGCAGCAAAGCTTCTCCCCTCAACGGACCCTCCCCCTGCACCTCTGGTGGGACTCCCTCCCTTAGAAAGTCCGCCCAGCTCTCCTCTCTGCTAGTTCCCGACCCACCCCTTAGCCAGACCCCACTCGTAGGTCCTCATTTGGCTTAAGCATCCTCCCTATCTCAGTTGAGTCCCTTCTAGGACAGGCTTCACCCAGCGGCCCCCGCCCTCAGCAGGTGCTCTCCCTAACTTGTCTCCAGTCCCCCAGCGGCTGCCCTCCCCATCGGTCCCCCACCTTCCGCCAGGATGTCCGCCTCGGCAAGCGATCTCTCTAACCAGCCCCACGTTTATCCCCCGGGGCCGGACCCCCACAGCCAGAGGTTCCCCCATTCAGCAGGTGCCCCTTCAACCGGATCACCTCGCCCCGCAGGTCCGTCCCCTCCAAGGGGGCTCACACGCCCGGGTCTCCCCTCCGCCGGTCCCCGTCTTTCCCTCCCTCCACCCACTTCTTCTTAGCCAGCGGCCCCTCACCGGCGCGGCGGGTTCCTAAGCTGCACCGTCTCCATGGCGCTGCCGGCAGCCGCCCAGACCCGTTCACTGCTCCATCCTCCCCCGAGACCTCCTCGATCCCGCCCAGCAGACCCTCCCACACTTCCGCTTTCCGCCCCTACCGGAAGCCGCGTGCTGCGCGGGAGCGGGGCGGGGCCGCGAGGGCTGGCCCCCGGCTCGCGTGGTGCGGACACCAGTCACGTGGTGCGCACACCAGTCACGTGGTGCGCTAGGGCGCGGACCCGGAATCGCGGAACCGTGGAGGCTCCTCCCGGGAGGAAATTTCAGTCAGGTTTCGAGATTGGGCGTTCTTGTCTCTCTGCGACACTTCGCCCAAGAAACTCGGTCTGAGACCCAAGAACTCATCTCTGCCTCGGGCCCTGCCCCCCTCGTTTCTCAGACACAGATACTGAGACTTCCTGCGAAGAACCGACTTAATAAAAAACTGTCAATTCTTAACCAGCCAAGTTTACACTGTTGCTGGGAAGCGCTGCTGCCGGTATCCCTGGAACTATTTGTGGTTTTCTGCCGTTCTTCCGTGGTTGAATTCTTATTCCAGGTGGACGGTGGAACGTGCATAACGTCTCCTTGGATGTCACGGAGCATCAGCCTACAAACTGCCCCACCCTCGTAAGAGCCTTACCTTTGACTCAGCTTGCGGACATAAAAATAGCCAAGGTTTATTAAACTTTTGGGGCCTCCCAGGTGGCGCTAGTGGTAAAGAACCCCGCCTGCCAGTGCAGGAGACAAGAGACTCGTGTTACCTCTCTGGGTGGAGAAGATCCTCTGAAGGAGCGAATGGCAACCCACTCCAGTAGCCCTGCCTGGAGAATCCCATGATCAGGGGAGCCTGGCAAGGTACAATCCATAGGATCGCAAAGAGCTGGACACGACTGAAGCGATTTAGCACACATTAAGCCGAAGAATTGATGCTTTTGAACTGTGGTGTTGGAGAATACTCTTGAGAGTCCCTTGGACTGCAAGGAGATCTAACCAGTCCATCCTAAAGCAGATCAGTCCTGGGTGTTCATTGGAAGGACTGATGCTGAAGCTGAAACTTCAATACTTTGGCCACCTCATGAGAAGAGTTGACTCATAGGAAAAGACCCTGATGCTGGGAGGGATTGGGGGCAGGAGGAGAAGGGAATGACAGAGGATGAGATGGCTGAATGGCATCACCGACTCGATGGGCATGAGTTTGAATAAACTCCGGGAGTTGGTGATGGACAGGGAGGCCTGGTGTGCTGCGATTCATGGGGTCGCAAAGAGTCGGACAGGGCTGAGCAACTGAACTGAACTGAAGCTCTTAACCATGTACTTGCCATTTTATATTATCTCATTTAATCCTTATATCAAGCCTGTAACTATCCCTGTCTTATCTATTATTTTCCACTGCTTATCATGTTCTCGATACTCTACTACTAACTCAAAATGGCAACCCACTCCAGTATTTTTTTTTTTTCCAACCACTCCAGTATTCTTGCCTGGAGAATCCCATGGACAGAGGAGCCTGGCAGGCTACTGTCTGACTCGCAAGAGTCGGACTCAACTTAGGGACTAAACACTACTACTACTACTACTAACTCACTTAGTTGTTTTAAAGCTGTTTATGTTGAGTAATATTACTCTCATAAGGCCAGAGAGGTGAGCTCACATAGCTAAAAGTATAGGTTTGGGGATTTAAATCCAGATGGATAGAATTCCAGAGCCTGCACCACCAAACTGGACGACCACTTGGACCCTCTCATTGGGCGTGAGAGTCAAAGCTTTGGCTCCACTCAGAACTCCAGTTCCAGCTATGGAAATTCATAAATCCTCAGTTGCTACCACCATCAATGAGTATTAAGAAAATGGAAAAATCTCAGTTTGCTTGTAGAGAAAGTTAACTCAAAGCAGCCTCTGGTACGCCATCTACAAAACTTTAACACCTGAGCAAACCACCTTTCAGGGTCACCAGGTATGGACCACCACGTGTTAAAATCAGAGTAATGGGGTCATTCTCCTGACACATGAGGAAAATATTTACTGAAAATCGACTAGGTGCTGGGCACAATTCTAAGCTATCACTTAATCTTTAAAACCTTACGACATAGGAGTTATCCTCATAATTCTGCTTCCTGGTGTCAGACAGGGGCATCAGCATTTGGACGAATCTCTGTCCAAAGTGGCTCACCCACGTGGCTGACAAGTTCCTGCGGGTTGTTGGCTGGGAGCCCACTAGGTGGTCAGGGATTTGGGGTGGGGGTGGGGGGTGGATTCCGCTTTTGAGCCTCACAGAATAAAGGCTGAGTTCCAAAGTTTATTTCTGGGAAGAGGAGGAAGGTGTCATGCCATTCTATGGCATAGAGTAAGCAGAAACGTAATGTCATTTCCACTGTTGAAGGGGCAACTGAGAGACACTCGTGAATTAAAGCTGAGTGGACATGAGATTCCATCTCTTGTTAGGGGATTGACAAGGTTCTAGAAGAGCATGGAGAACTGGGAATATTGTTTCAGTCATTTGGAGAAAATACAACTTGCCACACGTGTGCTTGTCTGGCATACTACGTGTCTGCTGTAACACTTAGTATATATTCCATTTCAAACAGTTGAAGAAGACTCTAAATGGTGGCTTAAGACATCATGCATTTGTTGGGCTGCACTCCTTATGTCTGCAGGCCTGTGTGTTCCAAGCTTCAAGACCAAAGAAAGAGCCCAAAATCAGCAACAGAGACATCAGTGGTTTAATAGATGGAGGATGTTACACATCTGAAGCAAGGTCCTGGGGTGACACCCCACCGTGTGCAGTGCATGGCAGGCAGGACACAGTGGCAGTCTTTGCTCCCCAGCTGGGAAACGGGGAATTATCAGTTATAGAGGAGTGGATCTCAGGTGGGCTGATTAGTAACCAAGGAAACCAGCAAAGGGGCTAGCCATTCACCACCCCTTTGGTAAGCTGTGATTAGCTGGGGCTTGGGACAGGTACATAGGAAGGTCAGTCATGTAAGTAGGGTGTAGGTGAAGCAGGCTCTGTTTGGGTAGGGGATGTACGGAGAATAAGAGAACAGCCATTTGAGTGGCCCAACCGTATCACATTTCTTGTTTATTACTAAGAAGTCCAGGAGTGACTTGTCGGGTTGATTCACTGGCACAACAAGGTCAATTTCATCATCCCCCTGGCCCAGTTCAGCATGTTGGCTTTTCATACTTGTGCTTATTGACCCAGATGCAAAATGGCTGCCAAAACTCCAGGAGTCATATCCTTAACCCAACAGAAAAACATCAAAAAAGGCTATTTGAAATCCTGTATCTCTTACCTGGGAAGGAAACCTTTCCCATAAACACCCAACACACATGCTTCTGTCTCATTGGCTAGATCAGGGTCACATGCTCACTCCTTGCCCAATCATTGGTAAAAGAATGAGATTATTATGATTGCTGTAGAGAAATCTTGATTCATTTTCTAGGCCCAGACAATCTCAAGCAAAATTATGAAAGTAAAAATGGAGGTTGTTGAGTAGATAATCATTTGTGTGTGTGTGTGTGTGTGTGTGTGTGTGTTTGAGTGATCTGGTTTGCCCACCCCACTAAGTTTTCTTTCTTTGCTTTTGTATTGGGCCTATGCTGTACTGAGGGGATTCAGATGAAAGAGCTACCCAGCCCTCAGAAAGTTTAAGGTCTGGTTGGGTTATGAGTTTACACAAATAATTAGAGTTGCCCCTTGAAGAGCATGGGTTTTAGCTGCATGGGTCCATGTGGATTTTTTAAAATAAATGTGCTACAGTATTACACAATTTGAGGTTGTTTGGATCCCAGGATGCAGAACCTCAGACAAAGAGGGGCAACTAAAGGTACACATGGATTCAGTTGTGCAGGAATTGATGTCCCTAACCATCAACTGTGTGACTAAACACCTGACGGCAGAAACTAGGTTTTTGTTGACAAAACTTTATAAGTGCATGTTGCATGCCAGATCTTAGAGGGCCTGGGGAGAAAAAGATAAGACCTACTCACTGCCTTTAAAGACCCCACAGTCTAAGAAACACTGTAAACTAATGTGAAATAAAATACATATTTTATGGCAAGACAATTTTTTTTTTTTTTTTTTGCTGTGCTACATGGCATGTGGGAGTTTAGTTCCCGGACCAGGGATCAAACCCGCACCCTCTGTGTTGGAAGCATGGAGTCTTAACCACTGGTCCACCAGGGAGGTCCCAGGAGAAGAAAAAACGTGAACATAAATGTTTGTTTCTGCCCTTTGGCCTCCTCTGTCCCCTCTACTGTGCATTATATATCTGCATTACACATCAACCAAACCTCCCCATTGGCAGAAATACCTGCTTAACCATAAAGAGCAACATTCTGCTAGCATCAAAAGAACTTCTTAAAAGATGACATTCCTTCTTGATCTTGTAAGGGGTCATGATGACAGTTGCCTTCTGTCTCAAAAAACTTATATAACTGTGCCCTGACTTCTAATGTGTGGAACAGTTTTCTGAACTGAGATGCTGGTCCCAGGTTACAATCCTCCAACTTGGCTCAAGTAAAATTTTCCACTTCTTTATTAGATTGACTATTGATTAATTTTCATCAACTGGCAATCACAGAATAAGAGCTAAATTAGGAATACAACTTGGGAGCAATAGGAGCAGAGGAGGAAGATTATAAAGGAGATGATGTTTGAGTTGACTTTTGGCTCAGCGAGGATTAGGCAAGAGAAAAAAAAGTGTTTGGAAAAGAATCACAGGAAGAAGAGAGCATAAGCAAAGGTTAGGAAGCAACGGAAACAGCATAATGTGCACAGGTAGCAACAAGCCGCTTAAAAAAAAAAACGGAGTAGTAAGTGGGATATAGAGTGAAGTCAGATGAGGCTGATGATAAGCTCGTTTCCCTCAGCGATTTACATCAACCTATCAGTGCATTCCTTTATAAAATCAGTATCTATAGGTAACTAGGTGCCAGTTTCCTGCCCAAGTGCCTTTGCACTTGCTAACCCTCTGTCTGAAACAGCATTCCCTACAATATTCTCAGATCTCAGCTCAATTATTAGTCTCTGGGAGATGTCTTTTCCATCCCTCTTGCTTAAAAAGTCTCCACGTGGTCACCTTCTATGGCATTACTGTTTTGTTTTCCTTAGAGCACTATCACATTAATGAAATTATCGTCTTCCTGTGATCATGAGGTAACTGAATGTTAGGTCCCAGTAGAATGTAAACCCTAGGCGAGCAGGGACCTGTTAGAGTTTCACCTGCAGGGTCCTATCATGCCAAGTTGCCCACCGCAGCTGCGAACTCCCAGCGCGCTGGTACCCAACTGAGCGTGCGTGAAGGGCGGGGCACTAGGCGCCTCCGGTCCGCGCAGGCCACGCCCCCGCCCCGCCCACTCCCCGCCGGGGTAGCCGGCCGGCACGGCTACTCGCAGCTTCCGCCCGGGCGGCGTTGCACCCGTCTTGGCGCCGGGAACTGTAGCGCCCCGCCAGTTTACCGGCCCAGCGCCAGGATGGCCCCCATACTCCCGGAGTCAGTGGAGGAGCTCCGCGCCACCGGCAACCAGAGCTTCCGCAACGGCCAGTTCGCCGAGGCCGCCACACTCTACAGCCGCGCGCTGCGGATGTTGCAGGAACAAGGTGCGACCCCGGCCCCCCGACCCCCGTTTCTCCGCCAGGCCTGCTCCCCCCTCTCTTCTCCGCCGACCCCAGCTACCCGGACCTCGCTCTGGCCCTCTCGGCCTGGGGCTTCCGTTTACTCCGCGGCTGAGCGGCCCACCGGGTCTTCCCAGCACTTGCCCATTCCTTCTCCCTTCCCCCACCTTGGGCATCCTACGAGAAACTTCCTTGGCCTTTCTTTCCGCTTTTATTATTATTGTAACGTGGCTTTATTATTGGCCCTTTTTTACTTAATGACATAACAGGGACACATTTTCATATTAATAGATCTTTTATCACGTTTTATAGTGGTACAAAACGACGTCACACTTACCTTAACCTCTTGTAACATTGTTGTGCAACAGATCTCTGGAACTTTCTCATCTTGCAGCACGGAAACGCCGTACCCACTAAACTCTTGATTTCCCCCTCCGCTCGTGGTATCCACCTTTTTTTTTTCCTGTGTCAGTGATTTTTACTACTTTAGGTATTTCAAATGAATGGAATAATACAATATTTGTCTTTTGTGACCGAATAATATCTTTGACATTATAAACTGTGTTATAGCATGTGACAGGCTTTCGTTCATTTGTAAGGTTGCCTGATATTCCATCGGGTACATATACCATATTGTCTTTATCCATTCATCGTTAATGGACATTTGAATTGTTTTCACCTCGTGGCTATGAAAAACATGAGTGTGCAAGAATCTCCCAAGATCCTGCTTTAATTTCTTTTGAATATATACCCAGAAGTGGGACTGCTGGATTAGATTGTAATTGTATTTTTAATTTGCAGGAAAGGAGGGGGCCTCCCAACTGTTTTCCATAACTGTACCATTTTACATTCCCACCCACAGGGCACAATAATTCCAACTGCTCAGCATCCTTACCAACACATTTTATTTTTTCTTCTTTTGATAGTGACCATCCTGATAGATTGCTTGCTTTTTAATGGTCTTGTTGGACCCCATTCTAATATTCAAGCCTCATTCTGATCCCTGAGATAACTCTCATTTTCCTCAACTGTACACTCTTTAATTAACATTTGTTAAGCACCTGTATGTAATGAGTGTATAATAAGACGGAGAAGGTCTTTTCTGTCAAGGGCCAATCCTTCTTGTTAATGAGGAGGCCCCAGATGTGATCTTAATTCATTGACTGGGCGATTTTTGCAGAAATACTTGTGGCTAGTCATTTGTTCTGTAAGTGATATTGATGTTTTTGGTCAGTAATGTTTGGGTAACAAGAAACATGGGCTTCCCTGGTGGCTCAGATGGTAAAGAATCTGCCTGCAATGCAGGAGACCCAGGTTCCATCCCTGAGAGAAGATACCTGGAATAGGAAATGGCAGCGCATTCCAGTATTCTTGCCTGGAGAGTTCCATGGGCAGAAGAGCCTGGTGGGCTACAGTCCATGGGTTTCAAAGAGTCCAACACAACTGAGCAGCTAACACTTTGGACTTTCAACAAGAAACATATTAGTACATCTCTAGCCAATAATGTGTTAAGCTAATGAATATTAAACAAGAACTATGTGGAAATGATCTGGGCTGTGAAGAAGACAAATGTGGTGGTGTGGTAAATTTGACTCAGGAGCTCCTTTATGAAGAAATGCAAGGTCAAGGACAACTTCTTTGAAGTGACATTTGAGGTGATACCTTAATGGTCAGTAGAAGCCAGCTGCATGAAATTTTGAGTGCTGAGCACCCCAGGTGAAGAAGACCATAATTAACAAAGGCCCCAGACAGCAGTACCCTGGTGTGTTCCAGGACCCAGAGGATAGGGAGCCAGTGGAGGGAATAGCAACACTTGATCAGTTACAAAGACAGGCATTTTACACAGTAGTTCATGGGAAGGAGTTTGGATTTTATTCCCTAATGGGAAGCTGCTGGAGAGTTTTCAACAGAGGAATAATGTGTTTTTACCAGTCCTTCTGGCCTCTGGCTCAGTTCAGCCAACTAAGCCCCCTGCCTAAGGCCTCTCTGAAGTGGCTTATCCCAGAGCCTCAGTAGAGTTCCTTTTCTGTAGTTTCTCTTTCCCGTTGCTTTCCTTCCCTCTCATTTCCTTGAGTAGCATTTGTTGAGTGCTTGCTAGACAAGATAGACTTTCTCCCTTTTTTATATCTTCCACTAACTTATGGGTAAGATGCTATATAGATGAGGCTTCCAGAAGACTTAAATCCCTTCTTCTGAAATCAGAGGCAGAATTTGAGCAGGGGTTTCTCCAATTCCCAAGTCCAAGTTTTTACTCATTTTGCTGTACTTCTTCCCAAATCCTCTCCTAATTCCAGTCAATTTTGTTTGAATTTTTGCAGTTTCAAGCCACTCTTCCCCCCCCCCCATCTTTTTTTTCCCCTAGAACTTTTCTCTGTAGGCCCACCACCTCATCTCAACTTGGTAAAGTTGCCTTTTTTTCTTTTGCATCCTACCCCAGCTGCTTGGACAAACTTGCCTTTTTGTAGGGATTTATTCTAGGCCCCAAGAAGAGCCATGCTGATATCTCTTCTCAGTTTAGCAGGGGACCAAATTTGGTTCTGATCCTGCTACTAATTTTCTAGGTAATTTATGGGCAAGTTGCTTGATTTCTCTGATCAATTTCCCTGATCTTGAAAGGAGAACAGGGAGCAACCTAACACAGCGAACCTTCCAGCCAGTCTGTGAAATGATATCTTTATCTGATAGGTAAGCACATGTGATCAGAGGGGATTAAATGACTTGCGCAGGGTCACAGGCTGGATTTGGGGGTCTGATGTCCTTTCTGCCGCATCACTGCTGTTTTCTGAGCAACCATGCTCCAGTGACTTGAGATGGGTAGCAAAGTTTGAATACTTGCACTTGCTCCTCAAGGGCCAGGATGTCTTTTACTTACCTCTGTACTTTGCTGTCTCCCTCGGGGTCTGGCAACAAAAGGGAAGACAAGATATTGTATTACGTTTGGTATTGAATGAAGCAGGTTTTGCATCAATGTGGTAACATGATAATTAGCGAAGAAGGCAAGCCGCAGAAGGAGAGAAAATATGATGCCACTTAGGAAAAGTTATTTGAAGGATATTGCATCTTGCCTGTGAATACCTATGTATTCACACATGAGATGGACACACATGAGAATGTGACGCCCACTTTAGGACTGTGGCAACTTCTGGGGACCTGGGGATGGGGCAGAGGGGAGAGAGTAGGGGTATTGAGTCATAGCTAAACCAAAAAGGTGAGAGGACTTCCCCAGTGGTCCAGTGGTTAAGCCTCCGTGCTTCCATTGCTGGGGGCACAGGTTTGATCTGTGGTTGGTATGCAGCCAAAAATAAATGAACAAAAAACCCCCCCCGAAAAGGTGGGAAGTAAATATTAATAGAATGTATGCTGAGTTTAGTGATGGATAGCAAGTATCTATTACACTGTTGTCTATATGTTTTACCATTTTCAAAGGAGAGCTTGTTTTCTATTCTCCTGGGCATGTGCCTGGGGATGGAATCACTGGGTCAACACTTGATCGTTTCCATGTTTTATTTTCATTATGGCCTCTGCTAGTGGTTGAAAACTTATTTTTGAAAATGAAAATCATCATGGCTGCAATAAAGGACTTGAGCCTGTGAGATTCCTGAGGATAAAGACGATCTTTAGGGAAACGCCTATGATAATTCCCCTCCCGGCTTGATAGCTTGAGCTCTTCCCCTGATTAAGCTCTCCATAGTCCTGCCAGACTCAGAGGTCTTTTCCCTGGCGAAGTCCTCTCTGATTTGACCAGGTCGAATTAGTCTGTTTTTTGTGTCCCCGCAACACTTATTCAGTCCATTTATGATAGCATTTATCAGATTTTTGTCTCCTTTTTTTTTCTTTATTGGATTTACATGCTTTTTGTAATAAAATTAACATATACACACACCCCCAAGTAGTTAACACCGTGGATTTCTTTGAGCTATTTCATTTTGATCTCTGGCCTGGTACCAAGTTAGTGCAGGACTGAGTAGATGAGCAGATGCTTGGTCCCTGTGGATAGCAGGAAGCTTGGTATTCTTGCTCCCTTGCTAGCCCATCAGACCAACATGCGTGATGGGGTTACACTCATCTCTGCTGCCCTTTACTAAACCCCAGAGAGCTCAAGGTGTGGAATGTGCCCCCGATGTCCCAAGGCATCCATCTCCCAGCCTGTTAATCGTGCATTTTCTGCTTCCACCTGAGGCAGGTTCTTCGGACCCAGAAAAAGAAAGTGTTCTCTACTCTAACCGAGCAGCCTGCCACCTGAAGGACGGGAACTGCACCGACTGCATCAAGGACTGCACTTCGTGAGCGGGCAGGGCTGCCCCTGGGGTGCCCGGGGCTTGGGAGAGGAGACCGGCCTTCTCTGGCCCCACTGATGCTCTGTAATGTAGGGAGTGTCGCTCAGGGTCAGCCGGTCACTGAAAACAGGAAGCTGGCCTTGGTCCTTGTGGCCCCTGACTTGTGTCCTTGGAGCCTCATCTCTGCTGCTGAAAGGAATAGGGTGGACCGCTAGAGGAAGGCCTTTAGTCTTTGTGAGATGTAGAACCTGGGCATGACCTAGAGTTGCAGACCAGTGACTGGCTTGCTCAGGTTTTTTTCTGGGACGGACGTGGGTAAGAGGAGGAGGGAGGGAGAGAAAGAGATGGTGGTTAATAGATAGCCTCGAAAGGAGAAAATGATATCCACCAATGACCAGGTATAGAGGATGTTAAACCATTTCTCATGCTTCTCTTTGAATTCAGTCTGAGATTGCCTTCATGGTCATCACTGAACTCGTACTTGCATCTGATGTGTCCTCAGGAATCTGATACCCTGGGACATTGCCTTAGCTTTGGGCCCTGGTGGTGGATGGGAAAGGAGGAGAGAGGTGAGCACGCTCGTGGAGCTGGGCTCAGTTGGTTTGTGCCAGGCCATGTGCTAGGTCTCCTTTGTGAAGCACTCATGAGTGCTCTGTGGGGTAAGTTTGCCACCCTGCCCAGGCTGGCACTGGATTGTGGAGGATTGAGGTGGTCAAGTGATGTAGCTGGGGTCTCATGGTTAGTGGCAGAGGTGGAATTCTGACTCCAAAGCCTGTTTGTTATTCCCAGTCAGCCACACTCTGTAGAAAGGAAAACAAGAGAAGCATGAAAGCTACGAGGCACTTATTCCTGATTTCAGAGGGATCGCAACTATGAAAATTGATGCACACACACATTTCCCGGTCGTAGTGGTCCTCTGCCCTCCTTCCCTCCTCCACTCAGTCTAGTTGAAAAGTCCCTTTTCTGAGACTTGACAGCCTTCGCAGCTGCCATGCATTGAATGCTGCTGATGACCCAGACTGGAAGGCGCTGTGGGGGCTCAGCAGCCTGCTGACATCTCTGCCTCATGTCCTAGAGCACTGGCCCTGGTTCCCTTCAGCATGAAGCCCCTGCTGCGGCGCGCGTCAGCCTACGAGGCCCTGGAGAAGTACCCCCTGGCCTACGTGGACTACGTGACCGTGCTGCAGATCGATGACAGCGTGACATCAGCCTTGGAAGGCAGCAGCAGGTGAGCTCGGGTCACTGCGGGCCATCTCTCCGGGATGTCCTGTCCTGTCCTCTCCGATTGGCTTGGAGCCTTGGCTTCGAACGTCCTCTGGGGCGAACCCTGTGTTTTAGGCTCAGAAACTTCTAATGAGCACAGGCAAAAAGTGTGGGAGGATGATCTGCTGTCATATTTTAGTAGGTTTTTAAGGAGTCAGAATTACTGAGTTTGTGGGGTTTTTGGTTTTTTGTTATTGTTTTGCTTGGATGCTCAAATACATTCACACAGTAGTACTTAGTTGAGCTCTGTCTAAGCCAGGTTCATTGGGAAATACTGAAATAAAAAAGAGATACAGACCCCACTTGCTTCAGAGAGCTTCCTAGAGTGGGGAAAGGAAGACACAGTGCAAGCGGCTATGACCCCGGGCAATAGGGCTGTCGTTAGTGGATGTGGTTCAGTGTATTATACTGTGACCCCTTCACAAGGCCCCTCAGGTGAAATTCTGGTCTCTTGAGCAGTTGTCTTTCATCTCAGGATGCCCTCTTTTGGGTAACTGATCACATTTCCCCTCTTTGCCTGGTATCTGTTCAGTGCATCGTTTCTGGCTTGACTTATTTTGTCTGTGCTTCCTCTGAGTCTCTATCATTCAACAAAATCTGCCACTTCTCTGCCAGACTTTGCACTCAGGCTCGGGCTGAGGAGGAGATAGACCTCTTCCCACCCTCGAAGAGCTCCCAGTCTCCTGGAGAACAGCAGTCATTCACAGGCAGACTTTGGCGATGTGATGAGGGCTGTGGTGACAGGTACCTGACAGCCAGCGGGGGGCCAGAGAGGGCTTTTTGCAGGAGGTGAGCCAAGACAGAAATGCATAGCTGTCTGGGCCAGGGGCCAGCAAGGGGCCTGGGCAGCACATGCACCATGAGTGAGTCAAGGTGTCAGAGGAGTGGTGAGAAGCCCACTGCTCGTGGTGCAGCAGGCGAGGCGCTCGGGTCAGGACGGGCGATGAGGCCCAGGGGCTTGGACTTAATTTGAACACAGCGAGGCATTGTGAAAGGGTCTGCAGCAGGGGAGGCAGCCTGAGCAGATTTGAAAGAAAAGCTGACTGATTACCTGCCGTGTTGACCATGAAGGAGAAGAGAATAGGAAGGGGGTGGGCGGCAATCCAAAAGAGATGGTGGAAAGAGAACAGTGGAAAGGGACCAATTCAGGGGACATCTAGGCAGTATTTCAACAAGTTCTGGTGGTTGGAGGGTGGGGAGAAGGGAAGAACAGAAGAGGTTGTCCAGGTGGTCGACACGCTGAGGTGGCGGCGACCATGGGGCCAGAGACTAGAAATGCAAGGAGGCCGCTGGGTATTTACACGCCTTTGGAGCAAAGGAGAAAAATACAGGTTGAACATAGAGATTTGAAGGTCATCAACCTAGAGATGGCTTGAGGTTCTGGGAGAGAAATGGAGTACCACTGGGAGTGGGGGGAGCCGGGGAGCTTTGAGGAATCCCGACATTTGAGGGGACAGCAACCTGTGCAGCGGGAGGAAACTTAGAGCGTTCAGTGTCACAGAGGCAGGAGTGTTTCCAGAAGGATGGAGACGTCATTCATTAAGCAGTCAGCTTAAGTCCACTGAGGGTTTCAGAATGAAGTCACTGGTGACTCTGATGGGGTCAGTCCACTGGGGTCAGAAGCAGATGGCAGTGGATTAAAGGAATGTGGCTGTGAAGGGGCAGAGGGCTGTGCAGGAAGAAGGAGCTTGATGCTGGTAGCTGGAGTCAGTAGAGCGAGAGGATCCAGGTGTGGGAGAGGGTGGTGCTGGCCGAGGGTGGCCCGAGAGAGGCCGAGAGCAGTGGATCCCGAGTGCAGGTGGAGGGGTTGGCCTTGTCACGTCTTCTGTAACGATAGAGAAGTGGGAAGTGTGCCCAGGCAGGGAGGCTTGTGTTCAGGGTGTGAGGAAGTCCAAGGAGGAAGGTTAAGGAGCATCGGATGAAGGAGGGTAGAGGTTTGAAGTAGGTTTGGGACGAAAAGGAAAACAGCTCTGGGGGCTGAGGCAGAGACCGTGAGTTTGTAGTGATAGCAGTCTGAGAGCTCTTCCTTGTAGTAACATGGGAACATGGTTGTAGGAGCAGAAGTTACCATTGGCTTCATCTGCTCACTCAGTACATATCTCTGGGTCCCGCTGGGTGCCAGGTGCTATGCTGAGTGCGGGAGATCAGTTAACAAAACCAGCATGTCCCCTGAGCCTAGAAGCGGAGGGTGGGGAGTGGAGGGGTTTGTCCCTGGGTGGGGTGGGGAGGGGAAAGACTTGAACATGAAAATCGAGAGAGGGGCGGTGGCACATGGTAAGGATGGAGGGGTGGGAGGGGTCCGGGTCTCAGGCCCGGCCAGCCTAATGCAATGGGAACCACTGAAAGGTTTTAAATTTTGAGAACAACATAGGATTTATGTTTAAAAATCTCTGAGCATTAATCAGATGTCAGGTATTTCCATGGCCTTGTAAATAGATATGTCATCATTGTTTTGTCGATAATTCATGTCCAACTCTTTTGCGACCCCATGGAGTATAGCCCGCCAGGATCCTGTCCATGGGATTTCCCAGGCGAGGTTACTAGAGTGGGTTGCCGTTTCCTTCACCAAGAGATCTTCCCAACCCAGGGGTCAAACCTGTGTTCTCCTGCATTAACAGGCAGATTCTTTACCACTGAGCCACCAGGGAAGCTCAAATAGATTAAGAAAACATAAAATGTGGGAAGGAGGTTCAGGAGAGAGGGGACCTGTGTACACCTGTGGCTAGTTCTTGTTCATACATGACAGAAATCAAACCAATATTGTAAAGCAATCCAATCAATTAAAAATAAATACAATTTCTTAAAAAAGAAAATATGGGGTCCATTCTTGGGGACATGTGTGGTTCCTTGGGGGTAAGGTTTAATTACCTTAACAAGCACCAGATCCCTCTTTGAAGTTAACAGTGTGAACAGTCCAGGGCCAGGCAGGGGGGAGTCATGGTGGCTGACCCCTGAAAAGACCCTCGTGGGTGGCAGGTTCCTGTCCCTCTCCTACTGCGAGTCCGAAGGGTACACAGCGATGGCTCAGACCAGGGGCAGATGATAGCTGACTCTTGTATACCTCCTCTGGGCTCATGAGAAGGAATACCGTTTTGACCCAGCTGAACACCTTTCTGTCATCCCGCCTGCCTTTCCAGAATGACCAGAGCTCTCATGGATTCCTTTGGGCCCGAGTGGCGCCTGAAGCTGCCCTCTATTCCCTTGGTGCCCGTTTCATCTCAGAAGAGGTGGGAGTGTCTGCCTTTGGAAAACCACAAAGAGACATCTAAAAGCAAATCCAAAGAAACCACAACCGTGAAGAGCAGAGGTAAGCGGTGACTTCCTACCCAGAGAGAGTTGCGGTCTCCCCAGAGCCACGTTCCTTAGAGTAATCCTATAAAAACTGGCCTCCTTTAAGATGAGTTATTTTTAAAGTCCTATAAACAGAGTAAAAAACCAGAAGCCATAACCCCTTAGGGCCTGTCTCCTCAGCACTACAGCGGGCAGTGAGAAAGCCAACCCCACAGGCGTAAGGGTAAGGTGATGTGAGGAACACTGAACGCCCAGCCTGGCACACCCAGTGATCTGGTGTTAGTTCCCTACGCATTCCTTTGGCAGCATTTGGGATGTATCATTTAGGATGTTTTAGGTTGCAGGAACAGAAAACTCCCATGTGGTAAAAATAATAAAAAGAACGTATTGGCTCATATAACAAAAAGGGCCTTCAGGCAAGGCTTGCTCCGGCAGCTCACTGCAGCATCAGGCTCCATTTCTCTGTCCTTCTCTCAACTCTTTTCTCTACGATGTGTCAGCTTTGTCTTCAGGCAGTCTTCCCTCCTGAGTAGTACAGTAGCAGTTCTATGCCTCACATCTACATGCCCTGCCTCATGACCAAGAGGGAGAGAAAGAGTTGTTTTTCTGATAGCTCCCTAAGAAAGAGAGGGTTTCTTCCCCTAAAATCCCTGGCTCATCTTTTCTTAATACAGTCTAGCCTATAAACACAGGCCATTCCCTTAACTAGTCCCTGTGAGCAGGGCCTGAGATTTTGTGACGAGCTCAGTCTGACACCATCTGCTCCATCTCCATAGCCAGAGAAATTCACATACTTATTAGTCTCTGGAAGGGAATGAACAAGGGAAGGGAGATCAAGGCCAAGTAGCCCCAAACAGGAGACCTCAGCTCTTTGAAACAGAGAGGACCTTCCCTTTGCAGGGGTGACTGGAAACTTACAAGGCTCCAGGGGAGTTCTCCCAGCCCAGCAGGCTAGGTATTGAGGATGGGAGGCTCAGCGGGGCAGGGCTGCAGCCTGGCCTTGGGTGTACAGGGGGACAGGGATTCTCCCCTTCCCAACAGGAAGCCTATCTGGCCATGGGCAGCATTCACTCCCTAGAATGAGAACATGAGCCACTAATGAACTTGATGGCTTCAGTGCGCCTATTTATTTCACTGTTTTGAAGTCACAGCCATGTGTGGCCTGGAAAGGCCCTTTCAGAAAGGTCCCAGCCCAGTGAGAGACTGAGACACATAAACAGCGATTGAAAACATAGGAGGGAGAATGGGTGCTTTAGAGCCTCTGATGTTTGAGGAATTCAAATTGGGAACTGATGTCAGGGTGCTGGGGGAAGTTGGGGAAAGTCTCATGGAGGTGACAGGTTGAGCTGGACCTTAAAAAGCGAGTCCTTCAGGTGAGAAGGGAAGGGAGTTTTCAGCTGAGACAGTGGAAGGAGTTAGAGAATGAGGTAGTGGGGGTATCACATGGTGCAGCGTAGGGTGCCTTGCAGAGTCAAGGTGATGCTATGTACATTGCAACCCACTGACTCTGCTTCTAGAAAACCTCATGCATGTGCCCACAAAGAGATGGATACAAGGTGTTCAGAGCAGAAGCTTGGCAAGAGCAAAAGGCAAAGGAGCCCAAGTCCCTGTAAACAGGACAGGTGAAGCCGCTGCACCGCAGCAGGCAGAGGAGAGTGACACAGCTGCGGGTGTGAGACCCCAGGGTGTAATCTTGAGGGAGAAAGAAGCCCAGTCATAGCAGGGCACATAGGATTATGCACTCCTTTATTTGAAGTTCTCAAGCAGTGAAGTTTCTAGATAGTGTCATATATAGTTAACGTAACCCGTAAAAGGTGGGGGGTGGTCTCATTGTTTGGCAGAAACCAACACAACGTAAAACAATTATCCTCTAATGAAAAATTTTAAAAGAACACGGTGGGGGACACAGAATTGAGGAAAATGGTTTCCTCTAGGGGTAGATTGACCGGGGTGGGGGGGTTGTGGAGAGGCTCATAGGACTTCAAAGGTCTTAGTAAATGTTCTGTTTCTAAAGATGAGGGATGAGTTGAAGGGTATTAGTTTTATTCCTAGAACCTTACCGCTGTCATAAATATTCAGTATTTTATGAAGAAAGTTTTTAAAAATTGACAAAGCAGATGATACGGGAGCTGAGGCTGGAATAATTCATCAGGGCCGTGCAGTGAGGTGAAGCCCCAGGGCTCCTTGGAGCAATTTGAATCTTGCCTTGTTCTCGTTCTGTCTCCTGGAGGCTGGGACAGAGCTCAGGCGTCAGGTCGGGGAGAACACCGCCAGACTCAGACCAGAGCAGCTGAGGAATAGGGGCTCCCCTGCCCTTTTCTGCAAGCCCAAGAGCTCCACTCTTCTCTTTTGTTTAACCAGCTGCTTGTTTATTTAAATACTTTCACATTTACTCACCTGCTTTAAGTTTATATGGTGCTCTACGCTTTCTCCTGTTTTCTCCCCATTTCATCCTGACAGTAGCCTAGGGTGGAGTAGGTATTGCCCCACATGTGTCGGTGAGCAAATTGAGGTCCAGAGGCATTAGGTCCCACAAGACTGCCAGGTTCTGAGCGGCAGTGCCGAGGCCACAACCTGGGTTACTTTCTACTGCGTGTATATCATTGTGTGTGTAGAAGTATATCTACATCAGGAGCCCCCAACCTCTTCTGAATGAAAAACTGTGTTTTTCCCAGAAGCCGTTGCTCGCGGGAACTCCTGACTCAGGAAGGGTGCTTTGCACAGTGCAGGAGACCTCGGGGGACGGAGCACTGTAGACGGCTTAGAAGAGGCGCTGCCCAAGAGAGCTCCGCAGGCCGAGCTGGGCACCCGCTCCATGGTTTTTTCCTCTTCTGAATTTGTATCTAGTGCCTTCTGCTGGGGATATGGAGAGAGCCAGAGCTCTGAAGGAGGAAGGCAATGAGCTTGTAAAGAAGGGGAACCATAAGCAAGCGATTGAGAAGTACAGTGAGAGCCTCTGGTTTAGTAACTTGGAATCCGCCACGTACAGCAACAGGTACCTTCCACACGGCTGCCTGGGGGATTTCAGGACGCCGGACCTTCTCCCGCAGTCCTCTCTTGGACTGTGATGGGCTCTGCATCCTGGCATTCAGTCAGTACAGGCAGACCTCGGAGCTGTCTCGGGTAGGCTCCACACCACTGCAGTAAAGCGGATATCGGGAGAGAGGGAGTCACACAAGTTTGGGGTTTCCCTGTGCATAGAAAAGTTGTGTCTACACTCTACTATAGTCTGTTAAATGTGCAGTAGCATCATGTCTAAAAAAAAACAACGTACATACCTTAATTTAAAAATACTTAATGGCTCCAAATTGCCAACCCCCAGTCGTCATCGTCACATCAAAAATCACTGATCACAGACCACTGTAACTAGTATACTAATAATAAAATAGTTTGAAATATTGTGAGAATAACCAAAATATGAAACAGGTACAAAGTGAGCAAAGCTGTTGGAAAAATAGCACCCATAGATAGACTTGCTCGATGTAGGGTTGCCACAAATCTTCGTTTTGGTGTCTTCAAAGTATCTGTGAAACACAGTAAAATGAGGTATGACTGTATGTTACATCTCAGAACATGTGTTCACATTCCCTTTGGTCACCATGAGATGGGCATTGCCAGTGGCATGCACTCTCTTAAACGGGTAGAAGGAGCCTGGGCTTTGTTTCAGCCCATTCCAGAATTTTCATTGACCAGCTAAGCATAGGATGTAAGTAAATGCTCTGGACTTTCTGTGCAGACACAACCCCAACACAAGTCTCAAAGCCTCTGCGCCTTCCCTGACTCTAACCCCATGGCTTCTCTAAGACCCACTGGTTATAAATTCTGCCAGTCTGTCTGTGAGCACCAGGGTAGAACCCAGGTAGAACCTGACCTGAGCAAGAGAGAGGGTCTAGTTGAGCCTGAGGTGTCAGACTTGTAGGGCTGTAGAAAAGCCTTCATCCTGAGCTGTCCGCCAGTGGTCAGTGATCCTTTCCACCAGCAGTGAGGGCCTGGGAGCCAGGGCAACATCCCTTCATTGTGTCTGAGTACCTGCTCTGCAACAGCCCACAAAGGTTTTGGTAGTAGGTGCTCTTCCTGTCTTAATGTCAAGTAAACCAAGGCTCAGATGGTAGGGCTTTGCCTCAGCTCACCCAGCCAGTAAAGGGCAGAGATAGAATTAGAACCTGGCTCCAGTGAGATCTATTCATTTTACTGTCAGAGGCTTAAAACATTCAGGCAGGGCCCAGATCTGCTCTAAACATTTCCTATAAAACATTAATAAATCTTGTGAGTCTGTTTTCCCTTCCCAGCCAACATACTCTCATTACTCTTAAGTTCAGAGATCTTGGATCTCCTGTAGGCTCACTGCTCCTTATCCAGAACTCTTGGGATAAAATGTGTTTCAGATTTTAGAAAGGGATGATAGTGCATATAATGAGTTGTCTAACACTCCAGCAGTGTCTGGGCAGCTTGCTGAAGTTAATCATTAGCATTTCTGCAGTGGAACATGGAAATTCCACGATCACACAGAATAGTATCGAGAAGGACGAAGCAGCCTCCTGTCAGTTGAGGTCATTTTTTTTTTGGCCAAATGATTTAAGAAGGGAACCTTTAGTTTCACAGCTTGGATTTTGGCCTTTGGGACCCGTGGTTTTATTGGCTGATTGGACCCAAGGGTGCCTCAGGCAGCCAGTCACACTTGGGATCAAGGAGCCCATTTGTGCATGTTCGTGCAGGAGCGTCTTCTAACTCCTTTTTCTGTGGGCTCTGTCCTTGCTCACCTCATGTTGCTGGAGATCTCTGTTAACCCATTTTCCTGGGTTTTTACCACATTCAGGACAATGTTTTGTTTAAATACTGGTTTTCATGCAAATGTGTCCATGCCACACCATTTTAACTACTATTGGTTTGTAATATATCTTGTAGGGCTGATCTCTTCATTATTATTCTTAACCAGGGCATCGCTGACAATTTTGATCTTCTAGCTCAGCCTTGGGCTCACTGATAAATTTCAGTCCATTGAGCTTTTGGTTGCAATTACATTGATTTTATAAATTTAGAAGACTGAATTAAAGACTGAACCTGTTACAAAACTGAATTTTCTATACACGTGGTTGAATATACTGCATTCCAGATGCCATTTTAATGCTCCACTTTGTGCATGTGCATCTGTATGGTGCATCATCCTAAGACTTCAGTTCTGTCTGTGCCTTGACATCTCAGTGGGTATCACCATCAGCTACTTCGCACCTACAGTTTCCCAGGTCCTAAATGGACCTCCAGAAGAGTCTCACTGAGTACTCCCAGCAATTCTTCAGGATAGGTCACGGTCCCATTTTACCTAAGAAAACGGGCTGAAGATGAAAGTTTGGGTTCCTTTTCACTCATTCATCTTGTCTCTCAGACTCCTACTTTGTGATAAAAACCCTTCTCATTGGATACAGAATATTCATTTTACCAAAAGCCACGGGTGATTATTTTATAGGCCAAAGTTACACATTTTTAACACCTTAAATATGATCTTTGGCATTCATATTTTCATTCTAACAGTTACATTCAGACGTCACCAAATAGTACCTAATGCTTACACTGTGCTTTTTCTACTTCCCAGAAACTTGGCTTATTCTTTAAATTGCTAGAGTCTATTGGGAGAACCCTTCAGTTTCCTTAGAATTCTTGTGTGTTCACATTAAGATCAGGGCTTACTGTTCTCAGACTTGGTGGCCTACAGCAGCCATTTTTTTTGCTCATGATTTGTGAAGCAGGAGTTCAGGAAAGGCAGTTCTTCGACTCGGGGTCTCATTCAGGGTCAGCGGTGGGGTGCTGGGACTGGAGTCTTTGAAAGGCTTCTCCTCAGCTTCCCTGTGGCTCAGACCGTAAGGAATCTGCCTGCAATGCAGGAAACGTGGGTTCGATCCCTGGCTTGAGAAGATGCCCTAGAGGAGGGCTTGGCAAACCCATTCCAGTATTCTTGCCTGGAGAATTCCCATGGCAGAGGAGACTGGTGGGCTGCAGTCCATGGGGTCGCAGAGAGTCGGACACAGCTGAGTGACTCCGCACAGCACAAAGGTTTCTCCTGCATATCTAGCACCAGGCTTGGGCCGACTGACGTGGCTGGGAATGATGAACTGATAGAGCAAGCTGGAGGCTTTTTTTCTCCTCTCCTGGCAGTCTGTTCACTTGTGCCAGCTTGAGCTTCCTCACAGCATGGTGGCCTCTGGGTAGTTGGCTTCTCACAGGGGCAGCTAAAGGCTCCAAGAGCAAGTGTTCTCAGAGCGCAGGCAGGCGCTCCAAGACCTGAGGCCTAGTTTTGGGACGCACACTATGTCCTTTCCTCTGTGCTCTGCTGGTGAGAGCAGTCACAGAACCTGCCTAAATTCAAGAAGAAAGTGTTGATACATAGGACCCCTTCTGTGGGAAGAATGCCACACAATTTGTGCTGCTTTTATTTAGTTTTTATTTATTTATTTGGTTACACCAGGCCCTAGTTGTGGCATGTGAGATCTAGTTCCCTAATCAAGGACCGAACCCTGGTCCCCTGAGTTGGAAATGCAGCATCCTAGCCACTGGATCACCAGAGAAATCAGTGTCTGCTTTAAAATTGATAGAAGGAGAAGCTTTTTCTAAGTTAATTTTTAAGTTTCATGCAATCCTAACGAAAATACTATAATTTTTTTTTACATTCTTGGTGGTAATACCATGAGGAAAAGAATAACAACATAAGAGAATTTAGTATATGATAAATTGTGGGGAAAGGGAGAAATTATCCAATAAATGGTGTTGGATTGGCTGGAAAGAATTAAAAAGAAACTTGAACCTCCATCCTTACTCCTTATTTTAAAATAAAATCTAAATGGATCAGTTTCAAATGGAAGAAGTAAAACCATTAAGTTCTAAAAGAACATGTGGGTTAATTATCTTGCAGTGGGGAAGGTATTGGTGGAGGGGGACCCACAGAAGTCATTAAATAAGTTGGATAAGTTTTATTTCATTAGATATTAAAATCTTCTGTAAAGATGCTCAGTTTGGGGGCTTCCCTGGTGGTCCAGTGGGTAGGACTCCATGCTCCCAATGCCAGGGGCCTAGGTTCAATTCCTAGTTAGGGAACTGGATTCTGTGTGCCACAGCTGGGACCTAGCACAGCCAAAATAAATAAAAAATAAAATTAAAAAAGTATTCAGCTTTACCTGTATTTAAAGCAACTACATTAAAACAGACACTGTATTCTTCTATATTGGCAGAAGTTAAAGGCTGAGCCCCAGGGTTGGTACAGTTGCAGGAAAATGGGTTCTGTTAATAACTGTTTTTAAGTACAATTGACCCTTGAAAAAGTTGCCTGTCAGGAGCACTGACCCTCCTTGCAGTCAAAAAATCTCTATATAGTTTACAGTCGACCTCTCATACCTGCAATTCTGCCATATTCACGGAGTCAACCAAATAAAGATGATGTAATACTGCAGTATTCGTTACTGAAAAAAAAATTCTGCACATAAGTAGACCTGCACATTTCAAACCTGTGTTGCTAAGGTCAGCTGCTTTATTTGGGAAGCATTTTGGTAATAGTCAAAATTTCAGATGCATGTACCTTTTGATGTAGCAGTCTCTCCTGAGACTGATGTACAAGGATGTTCATAGCAGCATCATTTATTAACTGGAAATAGTAAAATATGTCTCCTGATAAGGAGTTAATAAATTAGGATACAGACAAGTGAATATTCCATAGCCACTGAAAACAGTGTCTGTTTCATTTTTAGTCACTGGGGAAGAGGACTAGAATTGAATAAGAAAGATGTACACAAATATGTACCTCTCCCTCACTGATGCAGAATGTAAGAATGATGCAAAATATAGGTTGGAAGAATTGTATATCAAACACCCATATACTTTCTAATTAAATTTATAAACACTTATAGAAACAACTATAACTTCAGTTAAAAACAGTGTTGTGTAATACTGTTAGACACCTATCACAATCATTTGGTTGGTCACTATGGCCATCTATTGATCCATTTTCTTTACATTTCACCCCTAACATGTCAGTGTGTGCATGTAATTAATTACAGCCTAGTATTTATGTGGCTTTCCTGGTGGCTCAGATGGTAAAGAATCTGCCTGCAATGCAGAAGACCCAGGTTCAGTCCTTGGGTTGGGAAGATCCTCTGGAGAAGGGAATGGCAACCCACTCCAGTGTTCTTGCCTAGAAAATTCCATGGACAGAGGAGCCTGGCAGGTTATAGTCAATGGAGACACACAGAGTCAGACATGGTTGAGCAACTAACACTTTCATTTATGTGTTTTTTTTCTTAAAGTAGATAATTTTTTGTCAAGGGGAAGGTTTCCAGAAATCTTTTCCTTCTTGAAAGAGTTAAGTGTGGGAGCACGAGGTGGATGATAGCTCTGAACACAGTCAGGATCACAAGTTGTTCAAACCCAGATCAAGTCCCGGGTCTGCACATGAGTAGTGGAGGAAGCCAGGGGAGTCGCGTCACCCCTCTGAGCCGTTGTCCTCTGTAAAAGCGGGCTGGGTGGCTGTGAGAACTGAGGAAGGTGAGAAGCACCCAGCATAAAGCGTTCAGGGCTCTCCTCGGAGTTAGTGGCCCTGAGGGAACAGCTGACAGCCAGGTCTTTCCCCGCAGAGCGCTCTGCCATCTGCAGCTGAAGCAGTTCCAGGAGGCGGTGAAGGACTGCACAGAAGCCCTCAGGCTAGACGGAAAGAATGTGAAGGCGTTCTACCGCCGGGCTCAAGCCTACAAGGCTCTCAAGGTAAAGAGATCCTGTCCAGAGGCACCAAAGAGCCATAGCCAGTCGTGCCCTTGGTAGCACTTCCAGAGCATGGTCCAGGTGAGGGGGACCCTGCCACGTCCCTCCTCGTCCAGGGGCCCCAGGTGCTCCTCACAGGCCTCCAGCCTGGGGTGCAGAAAGCCAGCTTGGCAGCGGTCCCCACCCCCGCCTGGTCTCCTGGGGCCCGGGCTCCATCCCACAGCCTCTGTCTCCTCTCAGGACCGCAGGTCCCGCAGCCTCTGTCTCCTCTCAGGACCGCAGGTCCCGCAGCCTCTGTCTCCTCTCAGGACCGCAGGTCCCGCAGCCTCTGTCTCCTCTCAGGACCGCAGGTCCCACAGCCTCTCTGTTCTCTCAGGACCGCAGGTCCCGCAGCCTCTGTCTCCTCTCAGGACCGCAGGTCCCACAGCCTCTCTCTCCTCTCAGGACCGCAGGTCCCACAGCCTCTGTCTCCTCTCAGGGCTGCAGGTCCCACAGCCTCTCTGTCCTCTCAGGACTGCAGGTCCCACAGCCTCTGTCTCCTCTCAGGACTGCAGGTCCCACAGCCTCTCTGTCCTCTCAGGACTGCAGGTCCCACAGCCTCTGTCTCCTCCAGGACCGCAGGTCCCACATCCTCTGTTCTCTCAGGACCGCAGGTCCCACAGCCTCTCTGTCCTCTCAGGACTGCAGGTCCCGCAGCCTCTGTCTCCTCTCAGGACTGCAGGTCCCACAGCCTCTGTCTCCTCTCAGGACTGCAGGTCCCACAGCCTCTGTCTCGTCTCAGGACTGCAGATCCTCACAGCCTCTCTCCTCTCAGGACTAAAGGTCCCCGCAGCCTCTCTCCTTTCAGGACGGCAGGTCCTCACAAGCTGTCTCTCCTCTCAGGACTTCAGATCCAGCTTTGCAGACATCGACAGCCTCCTGGAGATAGAGCCTAGGAACGGCCCTGCGCGGAAGTTGCGGCAGGAGGTTAACCGGAGCTTAAACTAAAATCCCAGAAGGGTAGCAGGACACCTGTCTTCCTGAGCACCTTCTTCTTTGCCTGCTCCTGGGACCTGGTGGGCCCCCGAGTGGGCTCCGAAGCCACCGCGTCTGCCCCTCAGAGACATGATGGCCTCCCACCCCTCAGGAGGCTCCGCCCGTTCACGTTAAGCTCGTGTAGTCAGAAAGCAGACGTTTTGTTGGGAAAGTCTCCCCGTGTTCTGCACACCGTGTGGCGACAGGTGCTCGGCCTGGTCTCCACCCAGCATGCTCCAGCCCCAGTGATGCTGAACCTTCAGCGTCACCAGGTCCTCTCACCCCTGTCCATCTGGGCGCTCAGAAAGCGGACAGTCCCATGGGACACAGGCCGGTGAGGGGAGGAGGACTGGAAACCCCGCCTACACCCACGGCAGCCAGTTGAGCTGGTTCTCCAAGGCTGCCGACCCCTCCCCTGTCCTTGGCACAGCACTCCATGTTCTGAGCCCCAGTGCCTTTTGGCCGAGCCTCCTATGACAGGGACGCAGAACCTGTCCCCTGGCCGGCGTTTGTGGCTCTGTGCTGCTGTCGCCCACATAAAGATACCTAAGTTCTTTCAAGAGCCCAGAGGTGTGGCTGCTGCTCCTGAGGGCGGAATAGGGAGAAACCTCCTTGAAATTTGTGTCCTTCCCTTCCCAGCAGGGACTTGCCTTTTGACTCCCACATTGGCCCCCCTAGGCTTCTTAGTTCTTTGTAATATGTTGAAGTTAATTTGAACTGAACAGACTGACTTTTGTTGAATTGCAAGTTTAAGCTACTGCATTAACGTCATCTACATGAATGTCTATTGTACTTTCATTTATGGTTCTTCAGCTTTGGTTCACTTTGGAACTTTGCAATAATAAAAAACTGGTTATGGCACATTCATCCTTTCCTTGATCAAATTTACTGGCATGTGTCTGCATGGGCCAGGCCCTACTTATAGTGCTGGGGAAACAGCAGTGAATGAACTGACAGGGTCCCTGTGCTCAGAAAGCTGACAGTCCCATCGGACACAGTGAAACCGCAGCGGCTTTAGTGTTTTAAAGGAGCAGTCACACTCCCCCCCCAACCAGGGAGATCTGACCATGTGGAGAAAAAGGGGTCCCCGAGGAAGTCAAGTTTGAACTGCGTTCTAACATGGGGGTGGGGAGGGTCAGTGGGTGAAGGGGGGAGGGAAGAGCCGCCCAGGCAGATGAACGGCATTGCTGAAGGCCTTGGCTGGGAGGACCGGCCGGCAGTGCCTCTCAGCCTCACAAAGCATGGTGTGGGTGAGGCTGGGAGCGCCTGAGGACCAGCCTGAACGAAGGGCTCCGCTCCACCACCTGTCTTCCCTGGCTTGTCGTCTTGTATTCCTTTAAATCATTTTCGTCTTAATGGAGACATCGTGACTCTCATAGAGCTGAGCAGACTGGGTCTTTACTGCCTGCTCCCCCATCACGCTCACTGCCGGGCAATACTCAGCTTTTAGCAGGAGGGTTCCGTCCTCTCCAAGGGCAGAGTCTCCGAGCAACCAGACCTCCAGGCTGAAGCAGATTTGAATCACAGTAACTGTGGCCCTGGCACCATTTTAAATTGGGCAGCTGCAACCCCCTTTTCTCCCTGCCTCTTAAGCAAGCCTGACTCTTCCCCTAATTATTTTAGACAGGTTCAGTGGTAACATCTAGTCACAGCTCACTTTTCCTTCTTGAGGTCCTCATATAAGGCAAGTATCTTGATTTACTCATGAAAATGTTCGAGGTACAGCAGCATAAATCAACCACCTGGGAGGGTATCCTGAGGCCTCTCTACAGGAGTGGAGTTGCCACGCATCCCCTTAACCAGCCAGTCCAGAGAAAAGCAGCGGTTGGTGCTTCCAGAGTGTTTGAGCGTGCAGGCTGCTCAAGCCAGGCGTCCAGAAGCCCCAGGCACGTCCCACGTGTGGCGCTTCAGTGCCGTGTGATAACTGTTTAGCCCCCTGATGCACCGCCGGCGGGCGGCCCCGCTCAGTCACTGGCAGCTTGGCTCTGTCGGGCGCACGGCTGACAGGCCCTCTGTGTACATTACCACACGTCTAGGCTCCTATTCCTTACAGCCAAAGCCCCCACCAAGGCGACCCTCTGCCCTGCCCACCTCCCTCTGACACAAGGCCTCCTGAGAGACAAGGTGGAGTTTGCAGCACTTTTTAATACATAAAGCAACAGGTTAGAGGTTGGCTCGGTGACCAGCCTTCATTCCACAAAAAGCTCAAGAAAGAGACACCCCAATCGGGAAGTCACGGCTTACAGGGCCTTAGAGAGAAGAGCAGGAAACGCTGTTCCTCAGCCAAGGGAGTGAGGATTCCATTTTCTGGGGATGAAAAGATAAGATGCTTCTAAAACTAGCACGGCAGTCTAAGTAAGGATGCAGGCTAGCCCAAGCACCACCAGGCGGGCCCCATGGCAAGGCCAGCCTGTTCTAAGCTAGGCCCCCACGGTGGGCAGCCAGTGAGAGAACCACCCCTCCACTGGGCACCCGAGTCCACGCCAGTTCCCATTACACAGTCTGTCCTTGCGTCTCATCCTCACCGCTTCCCCGAACGCCTCCAAGATAAGCCAGTGACGCCACAGCCTTCCCAGGGAGTCTGAATGTCCCTGCCCTGTTCCTATAGCTTCTGGGGTCAGCCCACCCTTCTCCCGCCCGCACCCACCCACCTGGCCTCAGCGCAGGTTCACTCCTCGCATGTGCTCCGTGGCCTGGTGGGCCTGCAGCACTGCCAGAGCCTCTTTGACCTGTGGGGTACATGGGGGGGGGGGCAGTGCAGCAACCCCAGCAGGGTCCTGAGACGGCCTCTCCTCCCCCGCCTCCCCAGCACTGCACACCAGCTCCCACGACAGAAACCCCCGAAAGGCCACCTTCTACCCTAGCCAGATAGCGGGGGGGGGGGGTGGGGGGGGTGGGTTGGAAATCCTTCCCCTAGGCTGGGTCAGAACACAGCTCCCTGTAACACAGTCCTGCCTGCGGAGCTGCAGAGAATGGGAGGGGCTGAAGCTGCAGGCCCTTTACCAGGCTCTCCCCCACCCCCAGCAGGTATTAGCAAGGAAACCCCCCTCCTCAGTCCCAGCTGCAGACACCTGGCTCTGTAACCGTCCTCCACCCTCAGGCCTCCCCGCTGCCCACAGGCTCCAGCGCACCTTGGCGTTGAGGGACTCTGGGGACTCCAGCATGAGCAGCAGCTCCGAGTTGTCAATCTCCAGCAGCATGCCGGTGATCTTGCCGGCCAAGTGGGCGTGGACATTGTAGATAAGGGGGAAGAGACGCTCACCTGTGCAGAACAGTCCCTGAGGCTTAGGCACGCACCTGGTGGCTAGCCCGGCATCCTGGGGGCAGGGGGCGGGAGGGGGGCCGGTGTATATCGTGGAACCCAACAGAGAGGCATTTCAGGTTTCGGTCCCAGAGTGGCTCCCTCCAGGCATGTCACTGAACCTTCTTAGGAGCCTCTTCCGCAAGTGGAAGGTGAGCACACCAAGCCCCACCTTGGAGGCTGGTTTGAAGAATCCCATCTGACATTATACGTTACAGCACATGGGCGCTCTGGCACAGCCTTGACTGCAGTTTAGACTACTCTTGCTGGGCTTCCCTTGCACTCCAGTGGTTAAGACTCTGTGCTTCCAATGCAGGGGGCGTGTGTTTGATCCCTGCTCGGAGCACTAAGATCTCACACGCCTTGTGGTATGGCGGGGAAAAAAACCAAACTACTCTTGTTCATTGGGCAAGGAGTCATTTTTGTTCATTGGGCAAGAAGTCATTTGAAGGATCACATGGAATTCTAGACAGGATACAATAATGTGGAACTTGATTTTTCGGAAGGCCGATGGAGCCAACACAAGATAAATTCACGTTCCACCAGCGGGCACTTCCAGGGACGGGGCCTCGTGCTGGTGGCGATGTGTGGAGGGAGCAGCCAGGACAGGGTGCTAGGTGCCATTGGTGGGGGCAGGAGGGCTTCTCCCATGAGGAGAGTGAAGAAGTTTCCAGGGCACTGCCCACAGAGCCTTCCCCCTCCATGAAGCCCATTTGGAGTTTTTCTTTGAGGGGTGGGTAGGAAAGTGACAGAAGCCCCAGTGAGCTGAGTAGTCAATGGGGTGAAGACAGTGGGGGCCTTCAGAGAAGAGCCTGGAGGTCTTGGTGAAGACAGAGCCCAGGGACCATGGCGAGCTCGTTCATTTCACTCTTTTAATTAATCCTAACCCTAACCCTTCAGCAGGGCCTGCCAGATGCCAGGAGAGAGATGCATGCACAGAAGCTCAGGTGTGGGGGACACCGTTTATTTCCCCAGTGCATGTTTATGGCCTGCCTCCCAGCAGTGGGCACTGGGTGACTGGTGAAACGTGGTCACAGCCTCTTCCCATCAGCACCCACCCTACAGGCCATTTGCTGGCAGAAACCCGAGACCCTACTCTCCTCCTCCTCCTACCCCCTCGAGCTCCCCCCAGCCATCTACCCACATCTGGGGTTTCTCCCAGCCTGAGTCAAAGTCACTGAACAGCAAAGCTGGAAGAAATCTCGGACTGCCTGGTCTGACCAGTGTTTTAAGATGAACAGGAGCCTGGGAAGTAAAGGTGATTTGGACAAGGTCACCCAGCAGGCGGGTCAGCTTAAGGCTGGGGACCTGGTCTCCACATCTGACCTCCAGCTGGTGAGTCAGCTGGTGGCGCACCCCCCTCCTGCTCCGGGGTAGGAGAACCAGCCACTCACCAATCATCTGCTTCTGTTCATGCAACGGTGCTGCGGCCAGCATGGACGCGGTCAGGGGCTCCTGTCCGGGGACACGCACGGCGGGCTCCTGGACCTGCACATTGTAAGGGGACACATCCCTTAACCACACAGGCGGGCAAAGCTACCCCTAGCAGCTGAGCACAGGCCTCCAGGAAGTCTCTGGAAGAGGGGGAACAGCGGGCAAGATATGGACAATTGGGGAGGGGGGAGGGGCGGGCAGAATCCCTAACAAGGGCACAGTGAACTAGAAGACAACG